TCAAATGTGCTGGTGCTTCTCTCTATCCTCCTAGACTTCATCATGGTTTTCTTTTCCTCATCCAATAATTCCTGTTTAGGAGGGAAAACAAACAAACAAACAAACAAACAAACAAAAACAACAGAACATCAAACAGGCTGTCAGGAGCAGAGGGTTGGGGTTTTCTTGAACCTACTCATGGTTCCAACTTTTTGGACCTTCTCCTGGGACCAAACTTCAGGAGTTCATCCTGCTCCCTGCTGTAGCCCTTACCTGCACGTCCTCGATCATGATGCTGTAGGAAATGCTATTGGACTCCAGGAAGATTTTGACGGCTTGGAGGCTGTGGAAGGGCACCCGCAGGTCGGCTGGGTGGCCGGGGCGGGTGGGGTGACGCCAAAAGTCAACCTGGTGTGGAGGAGAGGAGAGAGCTCGGCCCCATCCCGTGACGGTGCTCCCCAGGACCAAGAAGGGGGTCCCATAAGAGCTTCCCGTGAAGGAGCTAAAAAGGTCTTTGCACACATTTTGGGACATGCATAGCTACCAGGACGGGTCAGGCTCCCTTTGCCACACTCAGTGGATCTTCTACAGAAACATTTTTTAGCACAAGTTGCTTGTTGGCAGCAAACAACCCTCTGAAGGATGAAACTTTGTGATTGGAGCAGATGCAGTGAGACACTGGGGTTGCTACGTGCTTATTTTGCTCTTTAATTTGATCAAAGTAGCTTCTTGCATCATCTTGGCGGTGCAGATGCTGTTCCCCATCACCCACCTCTCTCCTGCTGCTCCCACCACTTAAATTTTTCACCGGGATTCACCCCACAAAGCAACCGGGGCAAACGCAGCAGGAGAAGAGTTACGTCGTAATTCAAGCCAAAAAAAATTTGCAACGACATTTTAGACCTGAATACTCAGCCTGGGTACGACAAGGTTGCAGTGGCCGGGCTGCTCACGCTTCATATGAAATAGGAGCGCCAAGCTCAAGGTTCCCCAAGTTAAATATTATATAGTTATAAATTATACGTATCCAAAATGGGAAGGATGGGAGGTCAAAAGAAGGAGGGAGCCTGGGATGCCAGCAGGCTCTCTGTTTTACACCGGAGCGTGCTCAGGGCCCCATCGCAGCTCACCTGCAGCTCCTCCTGCTCGCCCAGCACCCTGAGCAGGGTGATCTGCTCCTCGTCGCTGGCCATGATGCGGAGGACCTGGTCCCTGCAGGGAGGCAGAGCCATCAGCACGTGCGGGGAGGGATCGCAGGATGTGGGGGGGAAGGAGCTGAGCCTCCAGTGCTGATGTGGTCCCACCACGGGCTGGGTGGAGACTGTGAAAGGTCTGCACCGGCTCGACGGCTTGGAAGGTGCATCAGTTGTTGGAGGTTTGGTGTCAAGAGTGAAAAATGCAGTTTCAGACCAGCCGTGATGGGGGGAAAAAGAGCAAGTGCCCGAGAGCCCAAGGCGGTCTGCATCCTCCTTTTGATCACAAGAGCTCCCAAAATGTTAGGAAATCTCTAACATAGCAACATGTTCTGTCTATATCTACCTGTATGTTGGATATTTCCTAACATAGCCCCCACTCCGGCCTGGCTGGGCTCCCCCAGGGATGGGTACAGCCCCCAGCAGAAAAGGAAACGTTCTCCTTCTCTGGCAGCAAGCTGTCCCCATCTCAGGTCGATTGTTCCCCTGGCAAAGCTTGGGGTGATGCTCTCAGGATTTAGCATCCCCTAATTTCTACCCACTGCCTGCTCAAAACCTCCCTCCAAATCTGGGGTGAAACCACATCTTTCCCGGTGTCCGCACAGCAAAATCTGCTGGATTTCCCTCCTTGGGCATGTCAGCCTTCTCGTCAACCCCAAAGGAGAGCGGAGGGGGCCGGGCATCTCTCACCCTGGTCCCCGTTCCCAACCAGGGTGCCCCACCACCCCCCTGCTTTCGGCAGGACTCACCCCACGAAAAGCTGCTCGCTGCAGGCGGCTGCCACGAGGGCGGCGAAGAGCAGGAGGATCTTCATGGTGAGTGGACGCCGCCGAACCTCAGCCCCCGAAGGGATATATAACCCCCCCCTATATAGTGCTCCGGGGGCACTCGTGGACCTTCTCACCAAGGCCACATCTGCTGTCCCCGCGGAGCCGGCAGTAACAAACAGATAAGCCAGGAACGGCTCCCGGGAGCCCAAATGTTTGCTTTATTTGGCGAAGTCAATAAAAGAGCAGCCAAACTGGGGAGGATCTGATAACGTCTTTCTCGGCGCTCGGGTGCTGCCGCGGGTGGCCGGGGAGGACGCGTGCCCGTGCACCCAGCTGGGTGGGAGTAGGTGTCATGGTCACAGTCACCACCCAACCCACGGGCGTGGGACCCCAGAGTACACAAGGACACGGCGCTTTGTTTCCATTCATTTATTTATTACAGATTACTGCTACTAGGTTGATTATGATGAGTAAAGCAAGTTTCTATTACAAGTTGCTACAAAATTACTAGCAGAAAAGCAAGTATATATACATGGATATATTTATATTTAATTACTTATATGCACACCTAGCGATCTATCTACTTATAAAATTCAAAATATATCATTCCAATTATTACCGGTGCCGTTCATCAAACCGCTCCCAGGAGTGGGGCCAGTTGAAGATGGATGAAGTCTCACTTCAAAGGCGATGGGCATCACGGAGCCTGGAGCCAGATGTCCCCGACGAGGGTCCGTACAGGGACGTTCACCTGGGGGTAATGCTCAGAGAGAGAGAGAGAGAGAAACAGAGGGGTTCGCTTTTGGGTAGAAAGCGAGTTATTTTTATGCCTTGAGTGTAGATACATGAGTGGGCACAGGACAGCAGCTCCTGGAGCTGCCGTTGCTGACTTCTGCTGTCTTAGGAGGTCAGCTCGTTATAGTGGTGTCTTTGTTCCACAGGTTATAGCAGAGTCTTTGTTCTGCAGGTTATAGCAGGGCCTTTGTTGTGCATTTATCTCCGATGCCCCTGAGCTCCCGCCTGCGCTTGTCAAGGATGCTCCGGGTTCCTGGGCCGGGTTCCCAGGCTGGCAGACATCATCTCGGTCAGTATTTTAAGCAGACATCTGCGTTTTTTTCCCATTAAAACCAGGTCGTCTTTCTGGTTGCACCGACAGCAGGGTTTGCCGTGGGGAAGGTGCCGCGGTCGGAGGCGGCGGGGAGGCGGGGGGGGGGTGGTCTGTTATGGCTTTATAATGGGAAACTGGTGCTGTTGGTGTGCTGGTCCTGGCTGGTGGGGCCAGGGTAGAGGTCCTCACTGAGGCGGGATCATGGGGTAGTTGGGGAGGGAAGGGATGGCAGGAGGGCTGTATCCCATCTCCCGGATGAAGCAAGGTCAGCTCTGAGGGCAAACCAGATCCCGCCACGTTGGGTCTTGGAATCCTCCAAGGACGGAGCCTGCACAGCCCCTCTGGGTGATGTGTCCCACTCCTGGATTGTCCTGCTGGAAAATATTTTTCCTGTGTCCAGCCTGGCTCGCTCTTGTTCCAGCTGATGCCGGCTGCCTCTCTCACCACACTTTGCAGTGAAGAGCTTGGATCCATTTTCTCAACCTCCTCATGGGGACGGGAGGGCCCCTGTTAGGTCCCCCCACCCCAAAGCTGTCTCATCTCCAGGCCAAACCAGCCCATCTCCCTCAGCATCCCATCATGGGACACATCCTCCCATCCCTCATGGTGGCCTCCATCGGACTTGCTCCAGGTCTCTTTAGTGCCAGGAGGTCCAAAAACTGGATGCAGTTGGCATCAAGCCCACGCACTTACAAGAAGAGGGTCCAGATGGCCTCAAGACCTGGCTGGTTGGATGGAGCTTCAAAGCCAGGCGAGGTCAAGGTCACAGGTCTAAAACCCCAGGCAAGGCTCCTCAGGCTCTGCAGCTCCTGCCCACCGCCCGCCTCAAGGTCCCCACACTGGTGGCAGCAGGTCGGCTGGATCCAGGAGCCCACCAAGTGCCCTGGGCCCCCCCCAGCAGCGGGGTTTTACCAGGGGTGGCTTTATCACCGGCTGAACGACGGGATTTTGGAAGGGTGGGTCAGTTTGGGAAGCAGGTGCCACCAGACAGGGCCATGAGTGAAGGGGACTGGGGACATGGGTGAGGAGCGCCGGCTGCCCCGTGCTCGGCTTTGCTTTCCAAAATCCCTACGCTTAACCCCAAAATAAACCCACGTGCTGCTTCCCGCTGCCTCAGCTTCACCTTCCCTTCCCTGCCAACAGCCTCGTGGCCTTTGAGGCTGAACTAATATTTTACCAGCTGCATCAAATGTGTTTGCTCTGCTGTGGAGCTCACGGAGGAGTGAGTAACTCACCAGCTTCTGGGGGATCGCAGGACACGGCGATAAACCTGTTAGATTTGATAATCCCTGCAAGAGCAGCAGGGATTGCTAATCTCTGATCCTTCGGTGGCTCCTGTGCACAGCCCCGAGCTGTTTTCTCCTAACCCCCAAGAAATTAGCAGGCTCAACGAGAGAAGGAGGGAGGCAGGCTGTTGAGGGACGGCAGACTGACCGTGCTGGATGGGAGCAGGCATCTTCCCACCGCCATCCACCCTCTAACCGTGCCCATCAGGCACATCTGGGAGGGAGAAAAGGGGCAGGACAAATATTAGGTCAGGAGATCCCCCCCCACACACACCAGTGGTCAGCAGCCCGGCAGCATCCTGAGGCTCGTTAAAGGAAATGAAAGTCCTTTAATCAGTCTCACAGCCTGGATTATGCTGCTTAACATCAGGAGGGCCCATTCTGCCTCCAGAAGCGAGCTCTGTCAGAGCCCCCGGGTTTGCAAGAGCAGCAACACGGAGCTGTTATGCACAAATAAAGAAATTCTTCCCCGTTGCCTCTAGACAGCAAATGGATCCTACTGGAGGGTAAGGTAGGCTCCTCCTCTTGTCACTGTTCCTACTGTGTCTCATTTTGGTGGATGACAACCATGTCTTAAAATCTTCCAAGCGGTCCACCAAGCACCCAGAGATGCAGGGAACCAGATGAGCATTAAACACTTTTCATATGCAGACACGTATCACTGTAGGAGGAATGCACAGAGGGTTTTTATTCAGCCAGGTTCCATATCATTACAGCTGTCGCAAGCACACCAAGGGACGACAATTTATGACCTTGCTGCTACAGACAGCTGATTCCCACCCCAGCTTTTAGTACGAATTGTCTCGCACATGCTCCATGATTGTTTTCAGGCCCAGCCAGGTCTCCTCAGCAGTTGGGATAATTTGGCTGGCTGGCAGGAGGAAACCGTAGCGCCCCGTGTCTCGCAGCTCAAAGGCAAAAGAGTATTTGATGCCGTAATCGTAGCTCCAGTCAATGCTGCCTCCACTGGCTTGGTCTGAAAGAGAACAGCAGAAGAGTCAGAGAGGTGAATGGAGGATTCATTTGAGTTCTGCTGTCCTACTTCTTATATTTGTGAGGGAGAAGTATTAGGTTTTTATGCGAACGCTCAGCTCCGATGTTGGACTGGTGGTGTCACTCTACGGAAGCATCACTGCTTCCGAGAGGGAGAGACCTTGTCGAGGGGACAGAGACCGTTGCCCTGGGACAGCCCGTAAAAGCTCAGACTAGTAAAATACTCACAGATAGTAGAGCAAATGCTCCCCACTGTAAATCTGGTGCCGTACAGGGACTGGATGGAATGGGCAGCAGCTTCTCCCAAGGCATCCTGGAGAGGAAAAGATGAAGGGTAAGTCAGAAATTTCGCCAACCTGAACCATACTCAGGGAAATCTCCACAATCTTTAACAAAACCTCCAATCTTTCACACCCCCCCAATAGACGAGTGCCAAAACAGTCCATTTCTTAAACGCTCATACTAGTGACAGCGCTCACAGTTTGCACAGTATTTTGGGGAAGTGACGTCGTAGGTGAATTAAATCATAGCAGGTTCTACCTCTGATCATCCAGTGATTTATCTCACCAACTGTCTTGTCAAGACACAAGTTGAAGAGATATCAGAAAATCCCAAGGCAGTTGGAGATCTTCCAATAGTCAGGGGTCAGCTTTGTGCTCACTTCAACGACGTAACGGGTGGTTGTAGAGAAAACAGAGGTGGGCTCTTCTTGGAGCAGGGCAAAAGGACGAGTGGCAACAAATTGCCACAGGGCAAAATTGCATTTAGGTATTAAGGAAAAAGAAAATCCCCATGACAGTGGGGAAACTTTGGGATGGGCTCGAAGAAGCTGTGGAATTTGTCTTTAGAAATACCAAACCAAATCAAAACAATTAATCAAAGCTCAGCTGAGCAAGGCCCTAAGCAACCCAATCCAACTTTGAGATAGGCTCTGACTCCAAAGCCCATCTGCTTTCAGCAGAGAGCAGAGACCTCCAGAGGTCTTTTCCGTTTGAATTATGATTGTGAGATCGCCTCGAAGGTATTATCACAGCTGTGATGCTGAGCAGAAAGGAGGAAACATGGATGAGCAAAGGGGGCTGAGAGCGGGTGGGGATGGAACGCGTCTGCATACGCTTGAGCTTTCTCTTTCAAAGGCACTGCACTGCACCGGGGTTTTGTCCGCTCTCACGGATGGTTACCATTATGGATGGCAGAGTTTAACTTCTTGTTTTTATCCCAGTATCTCACTGTAACACTTGAGTATGGAAAGCCAGCTGGACAGAACAGAGGAAGCTGAAGCCAAGTCATTATGTCTCACCAGCTCGGCGTAGTCTGCTGGCTTAGTGCACTTATAGCCATAGGGATACATCAGAAGCTGAGAGTAGCTGTGGAGGGTGAGGAAGGCCCGAATATTTCCATGTTTCTTAATAAAGTTGACAACAGATCTAACTTCCACCTCTGAGTTGGCACTGGGCCCACGGTAAGACTCAGAACAGGGATTACTACTGGCTCCGGGACCTGTTGGTGCAAAGAGGGAACAAAGGCAAACCTGTAAGAACTGGCATTTGTGAAAGGTCAAAGCAGAGCAACACAAAGCAAAACAGGTCTGCAGCCAAAGGCAAGGCCTTAAATGCTGAGAAATGCTCAAACAGCAGCAACAAAGCATGAATACTCAAGGGACGTGCTTCTGCAGATTACTGCCTTCATCTTGTGCTCACTGGCAAGTAATCAATATGAAATTATCTTTACAAAAGACAGCCACCAGCCTATTTGACCGTTTTCTTTCTAAATCCCTTATACTAAGGCAATTGCCGCTCCTGTGTAACAGGATCCAGGAACATGAAAGGGAACTTTCTTCTTAGTGACAGCCAGAATCCAGAAACTTTATTCCTACCTCCAAAACCTGCATCCCAGTTCCTGTTTGGATCAACTCCAACACACACACTGCCTTGAATCTTGGAGCGGGTCTTCCGCCACATGCGATTCTAAAACAAACACACACAGTGGCTTTAAAAGGAGCAAATCTCAGTCCTTGCATGAAAACTGCTCCCCAGAAATAGCTGCCATTCACCAGGAAGCGATCCTAGGCATGAGCCTAAGATTATTCCTGGTGGGCTGACTGCCAAGGTGGGCAAAAATCAAAGGGCTGGTGAATTTACAGTGGGTTAAGATGAGTTAGACAAGTAATTAGTATTTTTGGCTGCCCAATTCTTTTGTAACTCCTTCTTATGGCATTAAGAAGTGGACTTTCAGAGCCTACTCCCCTCATGTTTATTGTTCGCTTGGAAGAGCATGACAGCTTTCTAAATCAGCTCAGACACGCAGCATGCTTACTCACCGTGGTGTGAGTGAATACATATCCATCAGGGTTTGAGACTGTCAGCAGAAAAATGTCCATTTTGTTCAGCAGAGAGGTGACGGATGGATCCTTTCCATAGTCAGAGGCAATCTAAGCAGAGACAATATAGCACACCGTGATTAGCAGCGGATTTCTTTCCCACATGCTTACGCTTGAACAGCTAGGTACAGAGGCAAGTGGCTTTTGGGGCAGGCAAACAAGAAACATCAATTATCTGCTGGCCATAACTGCTCCTCGTTAGACTTCAAGCTTGGAGAGAGCAATGAATCTGGTTTGCTATTTTATTCTGAACACAGGAAGTTAATGGGACAGGGCAACAACATTTTCTTCTGCCTGTCCCAGAGAACAGGCCAAGGCTGGCACGAAGATTGAGATGGATTAGCCAGGTTGGGAACATACAGCTGTGCTGCACTTCTCTCGTGGCCTCGTTGTTTTCAGCAGAATTTAAACGCTCGTTTATGTAGAGCTGGAAGTTTTGGCGCTTTTGTGGAAAGCAAGCAACCGCACAGAGTTTCTCTGTGTCGCCAGACCGAAGCAGCAAACTAATCTCAAAGTCCTCGGTTATTGATATAGCTATCAGCCTTGTGGTCCTCAACAATTTCACCTGGACTACTACATGTTGCCTACCTACACTTCTCCCAGCTGTTCTAACAATACACAGCAGTTCTCAATTCTTTGTTTAGGCAGCTGCCATATTCCCTCTGGAGTGGGCTGTGTTTTAAGAGGGGTGAAAGAGAGTTACCAGAGCTGGCTAAATGCATACAGGTGTGATATACTTTGAAATAGTCAGAGGCATTCCCAAGATAAAAGAAAACCCAATCACTGCTGAAGTGACCTTTCTAGCTATCCATATGGCGCTCGCTTGCGTGACCCACTCTCGGGAATGGATACCGGCATCAATCCAGATTGCGGGACGGTTGCGTCCTCCAGTGCTGAACTGTCAAACAAAACAGAAAGTTTTAAAGCTCTCATTGACTCCTTTTAGTCAAGGACATCCCGTATAGACTGAGATGCTTTGGACTCGATCGTGCTGTGTCTATAACATACGTGTATGTTAGCACGCACGCGTTCTGTGATAGGTGCTGTACCTTGAGCACATACAAAGGCCGCTTTTCATAGGACTGCCCAATCTGGAGCTTGCTGACAAGGTTGCTATACTCAGATGCAAGGTGATCCAGTTCTCCATAAATCTGAAATTAAAAGCCATGGTGACGTTTACATTCCATCCACGTACAGTACTGCCCAGAACAATTGTGGGACCTGATGAAATCTACTTTTCTCTCCTTTTGCCATCATTCCTATGGTCTCTTCAAAGCCCCGTCTCACGTCAGCGTCGGCAGTGCTCTTCCTAACATCACAAAGTAGAAGGAAGCACTGCTACATCATCAAGATCTACTTATTTTGGAGTAAGTTCAAAACCCTCTTTAAGAACTTCCAGTAATAAAAATACCTTACCCTCTGCTCTGCTTGACAGCTACTGGTTTCCTACATTTCCCTATTTCAAGATTCTTTTATTTCTCAATCTCTTTTGAGGGTCAAAAGGAAGGGTTTTGATGGGACTCTGCAGAAGAGTTTATGAAACAGTACAACCAACACTTGCCTGTTCCAGCACCCTGTTGGGGAGAGTGCTGGCTCATTGTCCTGACCACAAAATTAATACATTTGAAAACAAAACCATGTGCCAAAAGAAGCTGAAAAGACATTTCAGATCCTAATACAGGGTGTTTGGAAGAAGATGGAAAGACATTTTAGATCCTAATAGATGATAATTAATTGAAGACAGCATGAAAAAAGGCCAGCAAAAAGAATCCTCTTCCCCCAAAGCTGAGGTACTCACGGAATCTAAAGTGTGGTAAGTTCCATAGTTGAAGCTGTTGCTGCTGCGATCCCTTTGTTGACTGTAGGCCATATCTTGCTTTTCTTTATCAAGAACCACCTAAAAGAAGCCATTCACATGTCGAGAAAAACCTGCTTAATTTGCAAACTTCTGACCAAATGATTTTTTCAAATAACAAAATGGTGGTGCTGCATTCTGACTCCAGCCCCAAACTTCCCACAGCTATGGAGCAAACAGATGCTTCTGCTGAATATATCTGTAGCAAAGTGAGCAAGAATACCAGTGTTTAAATGGTCAGCATTAAGTTTTAAACACTTCTTAAGATGAACAAGAATAGTATTGGAAAGCTTTGGGTGGAAAAAAAAGAAAAAAAGAAAAAAAAAAGGAAAAAAAAAAAAAAAACAGTGCTTCTGCTGAGTTAATGCTATTTTAGATGTTATTTGGGGATTACTGCTCATGAAGAAATGTTGGATTAGTGCCCAAGTGGGTGCCTTTTGTCTCACACCGTGCTGTACACTTCTTTCAGATTATGATCCTGAACTACTCTTAACACAATTTATTGAATTCTAAGTAACTTCAGTGTTGTGTTTCCCAAACATCTGGGGCCAAAAGGCCACATGAAATTCCTCAGGGGTTATCAGAAGAGCCCCGTGGACCCTATGTGTTTATTAATGTCACTATTCAACATGATTTCAGAGAGCATCTGAAGAGTGATCTCCACAGCTTCCCAGTGCAGCAGCGATCCACGGATTGCCTTTGAGAAATTAATCCACAGACTACAAAAATAAGGAGAGGACCTCATGGAAAACAGTATAGAAGAGTCCGTGTTAATGAACGAGGCCAGATTGTGAATCACTATTTGTTTCCAAAGGATATAAAAGCTAAATACGTGTGAATGGCATTGCCTACCTGCAGGTCTTCGATCAGGATGGAGTACTCAATCCCATGGGATTTCAGGAAGGCTTTGACTGCTTGGACACTGTTAGCGGGGATTCGCACATCCACGGGGAGGGCAGGGGTGGAGGGATTTATCCAGAAATCAAGCTGAAAAGAGAAAGGAAAATGGATTCGGTTTGGGGAAAGTGTTCTGCAAACAGCTCTTCTAAAGCTTTAGAAATGCTGATTTCTCCCAAACTCCTGCAGTAATGTGCCCCGTCACCCAAGCGTGGCCTCACCACAACCTGGCATCAGTTAACACGACAAACTCACCAAGAAAATAACAAAGGCCCACAGGAGGCTAAAGTCAGCATTTTCACTGACTTCAGAGCTTCAGTCATATAAGCAAGAGGAAATTTTAGTCTTCTATGATGATTATTTTACTGTTCTCCCTTTTACCAGAAACAGTTTCAAGAAAAGCTCTGTATTGCAGTATTAGGTAATATGAAACTCATTGGTTTTATTTCTCCTTTTATTTCTCCTTTGGTAGGGCTTTTCTAAATTTTCATTTCTATACTATTCAATATTTTTAAAGAAGGTGGTAATAAAAATTCTCACCAATGACAACAAGAACAGTAATAACATAGAATTTTATCGTGTGTTTTGCTGTTTCAATACAGTGTGGACTAACTAATTCCTCCCACAATGCTGGGAGACAATGACAAAAACGTTAGCATCCCCACTTTAAAGACAAGCTTTTTGATACTGAGATTAAGAGCAGATCAGTTCAAATATGATTGTAAACCCAGCAGGAAGAAAATTTTAAATTGAATTGTAGGCACTCCTGAATACCAAGCTGATACTAGAACTTGCAGATCAAACACCAAGTATTGAGACAGTAAATTTATTTATGGTAGCTGCCACAGTATGGCATGAACCTTTCAAATGTGATGCAAACTCCTACCCTGGTAAATCCTACCCTGGTCTGACACATTAAAAAATGTCTCTGTGGTCATAACATACCCCAAGGTGTTCCAGTGATTCCAAAAGCTGTAACTCCTTAACCTCCTCCTCATTTCTTGTCTTGATTCGGAGAACCTGGTGCCTGCAATAAATCAGTAAGTCTTCAGAAACAGCCTCTAAAAGGGGTCTGGTTGAACTAGCTTGTTATTGAGATCATGATTTTGTTGGGTAGTTACTTGCATGCTACTAGTCAATACGGACTTCTTTAACACAGTTGACCTAGTGTCACCCAAGAGTTCAACCAACAACCTGCTATATGTGCAGTAGATTGATGACGAGTTAAATGGCAATTTTTAAGATTTCACCATAAACAAGACAGCAAGTGGATGACTTTTTAAGTCAATAACTTGCAGAAGAAAAATAATCTGGTTGAGTTTGCAAATGATCAAAAGTTTGGGGAGCACTATACAACAAAGCAAGCCAAACACTAAATATAGGATTAATTTCACCTTTCTTCAGTGTAGTCAAAGACTGTTGACAAACTTCCCTGTGTTGTCAGAAGCTGATACCATCGGAGGGTGGCTTGCCCCATTCCAGGTGGAATGAATCACCTTCTGGTAGTACCTCACTCCACCGGTTACAGAGGTAACCTCAGCAATTAACCCAGACCGTGCATTGTACGACATACAGTGACCACAACGTACAGTCTCTAAGTGGTTTTTAGATCACTAAAAACATATATCCCGTTCAAATACACAGTATTCCAGGCTGCTTGGTAAAATAGATACAAGCAAACAGTACCACGAGGACAGGCAGATGAGCTCAGACTTGTTCAGGCTGATCTAATTGCAGACTACAACTGCTTGAAGGGGAGTTACAAAAAAAGGACAAACTCTTCTGAGTAGAGGTAGATAATAACAAGGGGAAACAGCTTCATGCCCTGCGCTGAGCAGGAGGGTGGACTAAAAAATTCTGGAGGTCCCTCCCACCCGAAACTTTTATGAAATGACAGAATGGATCTATGAACAAGTGTATGCAACAGCTGGGGGACAGAAGATCCTATTCTGGAGAACCAGGGAGGGATTCTGAAGGAAACCTGGGAGCCGCAGCGAATAATCAGTTGGAAATACAGCACCGGGATCAATGCCATGGACAAAAGCACCGATGTGCTCCTTAGCTGTACAGCCTGGGGCTCACTGCAAGCCAGCTGAGCTTAATGCTGCATTTGCAAAATGACATTTGGCGGTTAAAGCATTTGGTGTGTTTGTTTTCCTTCTCCTCCCCAGGCATCTGCCTTCGGGGCCACTGTTGGAAACAAAGCAAAAGGCCCTGGAGTCCCACATCCTGACCTGGCCCAGCTGCTCTGCTGGCACCCACGGCAAGCAGTACTGAAAAATGGAGGTGTCTCAGAGTAAATCGACATAAATAACTGCAGAATTGGAAAACACATTTTAAGACAGGGAAAACAAGGGACTTGGCCTATCAGCTCAGTTATGTGTGTATTTATTTACTAGCGTGGCCTCAGCTGCCGAGAAGAGACGCTCATTAACACCAGGCTCCTCAGTCTGGCCAGCAAAGGTATAAGACTCTTGTGTTGAACCAAGTTAAATCAACTCTAAGGTACTTCACCACATTAAAAACTTATTATTGGATTCTCCATCAACATAAGATTTATTTCTGAATTGGATTCTTCTGTGAAGAGGAGATGAGGCTCATTAACCACAGCTACTGAACGTGACTGAGGAATGAATTCACGAGAATCCAATCTACATTATGCCAGAGCCCAGCTTAAATGATCAAAACAGTTTCTGCTGGCTTTACAAATCCTAGGGTTTTAGTAAACTATGAAGATTATTTCTTAATCCTTACATCTTCAGATGTACTTAAAAAGGCTCTGAAGATAATTAATCATTTTTTAAAAAAATGAGAATCTTAAAAAACAAAAGGTAGTTAATGACCGTTCTGATCTGAGGCCAGGTTCTGGTCTTTCAGCTTTGCTTTGTGCCAGACTTGATCTGTCAAGCTGAATACTTGAGTTTTGCAGCAAGGTTCAGCTCCGGATCAAAGCTGGAGACTGCTCCCTCGGTACCATCAAATCCAAAACAAAGCCTTGGGTGAACACGAATTTAGGAGCTCAACTCCACAGCTAGACCCTTCTCCTTAGAAACTCAAATGAAAGTAGAGAGGGGTTCCCTCTCTAGCAGTGACAAGTGGCGTTTCTCAGGGGTTGAGCCCAGTGCTGTTTCACATCTTCGTTGGGGACACGGACAGAGGGATCGATGCCCCCTCAGCAAGTTCACCCGTGACCCCCAGCTGCGTGGTGGGGGACACGCTGAGGGCAGGGGGGGCATCCCGAGGGACCTGGGCAGGCTGGAGAGGGGGGCCCGGGCAAACCCCGTGGGGTTCAACAAGGCCAAGGGCAAGGGCCTGCCCGGGGGTCGGGGCGATCCCCAGCACAAACCCAGGCTGGGCCCTCGAGGGGTGGCTGGAGAGCAGCCCCAAGGAGAGGGACTGGGGGGGTTGGTGGGGGGAAAACTGCCCGTGAGGCAGCCCCGTGCGCTGGCAGCCCAGAACCCACCTGTGCCCTGGACTGCAGCCAGAGCAGGGGGGGCAGCAGGGCCAGGGGGGGGATTCTCCCCCTCTGCTCCGCTCTGGGGAGACCCCCCTGCAGTGCTGGGGCCAGCTCGGGGGCCCCCAACAGCAGAAGGACCCGGAGCTGCTCGAGCGGGGCCAGAGGAGGCCATGGAGATGCTGGGGGGGCTGGAGCAGCTCCCCTGGGGGGCCGGGCTGAGAGAGTTGGGGGGGGTTCAGCCTGGAGAAGAGAAGGCTCCGGGGAGCCCTTCGAGCGGCCTCCCAGGGCTTAAAGGGGGGACAGGGGAGGTGGGGGGGGACTCTTTATTTGAGAGGTGACGGTTTTAAACTGCCAGAGGGCAGATTTAGGTTACATCTAAGGCAGAAATCGTTCCCTGTATGGGGGGTGAGGCGCTGGCCCAGGGTGCCCAGAGCAGCTGTGGGTGCCCCCTCCCTGGAAGGGTTCAAGGCCAGGTTGGACGGGGCTGGGAGCCCCCTGGGCTGGGGGAAGGGGGTCCTGCCCAGGGCAGGGGGGGGCACTGGGGGGGCTTTATGGTCCCTTCCAACCCAAACCTTTTGACTATTCTATAATTCCTTCAAACACTGGAATACCAAAGCAGCAAGACAAGTCAGTCATAAAAAGCAAAGAATGTGCCCGAAGCAGATTTTGTAAAGTTAAGGTCATAAAAAACAACAACTGGATAATACGGCTTTAAAAGAAAGGTCTTATACAAAAGTGTAACTCACCCAACAAAATTTTCCAGGCACAAGGAAGCCCCGAAGAGGGCACTGAAGATCACAATCAGCTTCATGTTTGAAGTGAAGTCCAACTCAGCCTAGCAAACGTGAATTTATACAGGACTTGTTAAGAAATCCTTTTTCAGATAAAACATATCTGTATTCCATGTGATGAAGTTCTCACATTTATCAGAGCTTTCAAGGCAACCAACAGATAGGAGGGCAATTTCATCTCCAAAAAAATATTTTCCGCTGACAAATTAGAACCTGTAAGGGAGGAGTTGTTTTCAAAGCTTTGCCCACAAAGCTCCTCAGTGTCCTTTTACACATTTTTTTAGATAAACAGAAACAAACTGAACGTCATCCCGGCTGAGGATAAGGGGCTAGTAGACTCTTGGTCATGGGTTTTCCTCCATTAGATTTCTAGTAGCCCACTCCTTGTTACAAAGAGGCAGCCAGCAGAAAGGTCTCGCTCCAGCGAAAATACTCGAGTGGTTATTTTGAAGGATGTACTCTGGGTCCTGCCTGCTATGGAACAAGTTGTCTCTGACAGACTGGGCCAAGGCCATGCTATAGATTCACTCTTATATACAAGTTACACACTTCTAGATATAAGCCAGGTATTTTAAATATACTCTTTATTGAAATTACTAGCACGCCCCCAACATCCAGCTGGGATGGTTCCATACAGATCCAGCCAGCTGGTGTTTTAAGCAAATTAAGGTGGCAGCAAGATTCACAGGAAAGCAAGTTGTATAGTGGGAGCAGAAAAAAGCCTTGGGTGAACAGGAACTTAGAGGAGCTCAACTCTGCCGTTAGACCTTTCTCCTTGGACAGGCTTGCTAGACATCCTCTTCTAATAAAGTACACTTCTCAGGAAGAGGTGACACAGGTTTGAAGAAATGCTGGAACAGCCACTGCCCGGTCCTCTCGGCTTTACAATGCCCACAGAGCTGTTCCCTGATCCAGTAGCTCTCTGGGTCCCTTTCTCCTTGTGCAGGACTCAGTCTACGTCTCGCTTCACGGGGAATAGCCTTCATCTTGTTTGCTTTCCGTGCCCGGGTATTTGAGTTGTCATTATCTACGTTGAAGGAGTAATGGTGACGGGCAGTTTCCTGGCTGAACTTTAGGAACCATCTCTCTTGCCTTTGGTTGTGGGAAAACCCAGCTGCGGTTGTCCCAGAATGACAGGTAGAGCCAGAGGGCTGTTGGATACACTTTTTGTTCATCCCATTAAAAACGTTACTGAGGAAGAGCCAGGTGCTGACCCTGCTGTAATACCTGCAGATGGGGTTCCTGGGAACTAACACGGGACAGAAGGGAGAGGTTCAGCCACTCTGTAATCAACCTCAGGAGAGGAAGGAAGTCTCTGACAATCCCCAGAGGAAGCTCTTGATAAAGATCTTGCCTCTCTCAACATTTGTCAGCACCTCCCTGAAGAGCTGCCCCTAATCCTACCCCTCCACAGCCGGGGCAAGGGCTTCTCGCCATGTGTTCACATCAGATTCCAAAAAGTCTTTTGTAAGGCCAGGCCTCATGTTTTTTGGGAACAGGTTGAGCCTCGGGCAGGAATTCTGCCTGTTTTGACATATAGGAATTAGTCATCCTGCAACTGTTGTATCTTGGGGGCACACTATGGAGAACATACACTCTGCAGGGAGGTAAGGTATGTTCCTGTGAGTCCCCAGGTCTTTGAGATTTAACCTAACCCGGTCCTTGGGAAACAAGCAGGTTTCCACTCCCCTCAATGTAAATCAGATTAATGAGAGTTTATCCTAAGAGACAGGAACCGTCATGAGAATTTCCTGCTTCTAGCACTACAGTAATTCTGGTGGAAGTCAAATTCCACCTGTAGTTTATGACCTTCAACATTTCATAAAGAACCTATCGACTGTCCACACCACCTCCTGTGGATTCACTCTTTGAAAACAGGAAGGAGGGACTTAGTTTAGGGCAAAATTATAGCTTGCTTCATTACTCATGCTACATCCCGCGCGGATTTAAAGGCTGCCAAGAGATCGCGCCAAACATGTCAGGGTCTAAAGAGCTCTAAGTGCCCTGACCAGCCTCATCAGGGGCCTCCACCCATTTCATTTAAGGAGCTGCATTTAAGTCTAAACCTTTGTGCCCACTCCTCATCCCCACTGGAGGGAAGCCTACAGCACTGTGACCTCCCGCTATAGCCATGAGGTCCTGCAGGGTTTGGAGATCAGCCTTGAACCACAGAGTAAGCCCTATGGGTGAAGTCCTGCACAGGCTGAAAGCTTCCAAAACACCTGAGCAAATCAGACAGCAGCAAAAGCAGGGGTGCACCACCACAGCAAGCCAGAAGCCAAAGGTGACAGCAAAGCAGGAGGAGGTAGAGAGCTCACCGCAAGCAGCACAGCCCCATAGGACCCAAACAAGAGCAGCAGAGCAGGTCTGGTGGCACTAACCAGCAACCACCACAGTCCAGATCCTCAGGAAAATCCACAATCAACACAGCAGGTCCACGGCCAGGATGCCAAGAGCTACAAGCTCAAGTCCACTGTGCACCCACGGCGGTTCAAACAAGGACCAGAACAAATGGCCTCGGCTTAAATGCAGCTCCCACGCCAAGGGGCGGAGGGTGTGTGGGTGGGGGCCCCACGCGAGCCCGTCAGGGCAATTAGCGCTCTCAGGGCCATGGCATACTAACGTGGGCAGGGTGGGACATACCCTCTGCACGGGTCCGAAGAGGAAGTGGGATTGTGCAGTGAATCACAAACACCCTGGTGACATGTTAAGAAGTGAAACCACATCCAACCAAACCTTGTCTCGCTGCTTAAAATTACCGTACTGATATATAAAGTTTGTCAGTGCTGTCATTGACAGAGGGCCAGAATGGATATGATCCCCCCCGCCAACTAGAAAGACCCCAAAAGTCATCAAATTTAGGTGGAGTCGCTCTGTTTCCATCAAGTCCAGACCCATTGCTGTTGTCCCTGTCTATAAAAGGTTCGTGCAACTGAGATACAGCATAATAGTCTCTCCTATCACAGGAAAGCAGAGGCATCCTCTTGTCCTTGTCATACCTACCAAGCTTATCTGAGCCCAAGCCCACAGTCCTCCTTGTCTCCCATCCTCTCAAAATAAAAGTTCACCAATTCAGAAGGAATGGGAACAAAAGGAGAGATGACCCGTGCTGGACTGAGCTTTCCTTGCGCTCTTGCTGACCCACTTGTCCCCTCTGCCCTCTTCGCATCCGTTCTGCGTCACCTTCTGCTTCCTCACGGGGTCCTGGGCGTTTTCTGTAACGCTTTTTTGAACCCCATGCATAACTCAGAAAACTCATTTTTACCTTTAGAATTGCTCTCCCTTTCGCCAGAATATAATCTTTTATCTTGGACTTTTTGGCAGATCTGTTTCAGGGAAATGACATTGTACACACGATGTTAACTCCGAACAGCATATAAACATTAATTCCTTATATAATGCTAATTCTCAAGGCGTGTGTGAGCTTGTGAGAGAGGCTCTGGGACGTTAAGCTGACTGGTCTTCCCACAGCTACAACACAGGGAGCAGCGCCAGCCCCTGCCCCAGGAAAACGCAGCCAGGACGGGATCCCTCACACCTTTGCCATTTCTGCCAAAACTCTCAACAAGCCCACATTCCTCAGAAATCCCATACGTGTTTCACCTTTGGATGGAAATGTTTCTTTTCTCATCTTCTCGAGCTAGACCTGTAACACCAACATGACAAAGGGCTCCACTGGCAACTCATCTCCTGAATGATCAAAGTTAATTGGCTATAACACAATTAATTTTGGATTACTGGTAAGAGAACTATTATTTCTGTAAGTAAAGGATTATTTTCACGTTCCTAATCCGCAAGGCACCTTGGGAATGCCCTGGATATAGAACGAGTAGGGATTTCAGGATGTGGCTCACCATTTGCAGATGTGACTGGCATCATTTTAGGAGCAGAACCCTCCTTTTGACCTCTCTGGAAAATCTGCTGCTGTATGCCAGTGTAATAACACTGACTGCAGTCGAGCTACTTACTTCCAACTCAAATTTCCTTCAATTAGGAAATCAAGACCTTTGACTTTCCAGGGTTGTCCCCAAATTTCACGTGGTTTGAATCATGCAGCAGTTTATAATGCACCACACACTCCATCAGATCATGTTGTTGCTTTTCATTTTAAAACAGCAAGCGGCTGAACTGTAACTGGTGATAACAGGGAGGGGATGGGGAGGGTACCGGGAGAAATACAGTTACTTATACCTGGAGATTAAAGTCTGGTTCTAACAGTTTCATCATCCCATGAGATAGTTATAAATAGTAACAACTTCCAAGGTTGTGAAAGCCTTTTAGGCAGGAAAGTTTTGTATAAGCCCACAATAATCTTCTGTTAAGGACCAGCAGGTGTCAGCAGAAAACACAGGATTAAATAGTCTCTTACTCGAGCAAGACAGATAATCAGAATGACAGCACAAAAGCAGAGCAGGATTTTCCTTCTGATCCCCCCAAAGCCTTCCTCATCCTCATCATATTCCCTCTCCTCTGCTTTCTGACTACACCAGAGAGCAAGGTGTCATTCTGCCAGTAATGCCATCAAAGTGAGGAAAAAATGGTATCCCACGGAGCCTTGGCATTGGACGTGGGGCACGGGGCTGTCCCTCTCTGAGGGGTGAGCATTTCTGCATTCGGAGCAGCCCGCTGGCAACCCATTGTCCAGCCAACCTTCTCAGGAAGCCCCAATGTGTTGGCCACCTGCGGAGCCACAGGGATGATGGCATCGCAAAGTGGCCTCTTTTCTGCCCATTAGGCCCTTCAGCTGCGATCTGGGGAAGGCTGGAGTGTCCTCAAGTCCTGCTGGTCCGTAGCATTTGGGGGGGATGTTGGGCAGGATTCACCTCCTCTGACTCAAGCTGTGCCAAGGCCGGGAATTGCACCAAAACAAGACTCTTCCTTTGTAACTGATTAAGAGCGATTCACCCCATCATCAAATAGCTGTTTGAGACTAGAAGGCCAAAGCAGGCTTTTTAACAGCCCTTCAATACGATCTCCATTTCATGCTTTTCTTGCTTTCATCCTCTGGCTTAGGAAATGAGTCGAAGTCATGAGACTTTCAAACCAACGGAATTCGCCCATTGGCATGGATATACCAAACCAACTTTCATCCTGTTTAAATTTGTCTCCTCCCTTTCTCCAACTGTATTTTTATTACCAGATGTTTCCTATAACCAGCTTTTTACAAAGGAATAACACACTCTACCAGCCTTTACAGTGGGGCAACGTGGAAGTTACTCTATTTACTCAAAATGGAAGCAGAGTGGGAAAAACTAAGAAATAGGTTGGATATCACAGATAATTAGATTATCCCAGGTGATTTTTCTTTTCAAAGTCACTGCCCCTGTCTTGTACGAGCTGTTGCAGCCACCTCAGTTCAACATGTCTCCCTGGGCCAGGTCCAGCTCCTCTATCCAGGTCCTGTCACTTTGCGGCCTCCTGATTCTTCCCATCTGCTAACATACCCTGCTTCTTGCCTCAAAAGGACACATCCCATGAAAATGTCACCGAGATAGGTCAGTATCTCACCACACTGACAACGTTGGATGATTCACCATCCAGTCCTTTAAGTCAAGCAGGTCGCCCAAAGCCACCCTGTCCGATGGGACCATCTTTACCTCAGGTAATACCTTCTGGATACACCAATTTAGCATGAAATTCACACAGACCTCTTCATTTACAGCATTTCAGAACAGAAATATTAAGTTAAACCTGTATAGCGCACAAACAGACCCAAGATCTCTTCAAGTTTTAACTGTTAACCTTGGCAACATGCGGTCTTACATACGTTACTATATGTAATCAATTAATGTAGTGATTTAACCCCAGCTGGTCACTGAGCACCACACAGCTGCTTGCTCACTCCCACCCAGGTGGATGGGGAAAAATCCCCAGGGGGATATGGAAGGGTAAAATGGAGAAAACTTGGGGCTGAGATAAAGACAGTTTGATAGGGACAGCAAAAGCTGCGCACACAAGCAAAGCAAAACGAGGAATTCATTCACCCCTTCCTGTGGGCAGGCAGGGGCTCAGCCATCCCCAAGGCAGCCGGGCTCCATCACACGTAAGAGTGACTTGGGAAGACAAACGCCGTCTCTCTAAACATCCGGCAACCTCCTTCTTCTTCCCCCAGCTCTATATGCTGAGCATGATGCCATATGGTACAAAATATCCCTTTGTTCAGTTGGGGTCAGCCGTCCTGGCGGCGTCCCCTCTTCATTTCTTGTGCACCTCCAGCCCCCTCGCTGGTGGGGTGGGATGAGGAACAGAAAAGTCTTTGACTCTGCGTAAGCGCTGCTTAGCACTAAGGAAAACATCCCCGTGTTATCAACACTGTTTCCAGCACAAATCCGAAGCACGGCCCCATACCAGCTATTACAAAGAAAATTAACTCTACCCCAACCAAAACCAGCACGTTTAGCTGTATGACAGGGTCCTCTTTTCTTTTTTTCTTTCAGGAACTGCAATTTGCACCACTGTTTTTCCTAGGTGATATGTATGTGATTTAAACCCTAATACAAGCTGAGCTTGTTTCAAGAGCATTTTAAAACAATTAGCACACCTACAAGAAAAACAGCAGAACACCACATTTCCGTTGCTCACAGACTCAAAGGGAGGTTGAGTTTAGCATTCTTCCTTGGGGAAGAAATGGCATGCTCCCCAGTAACCCAAGGCCAAACCACTGCTCTCTGTTTTGAGTAGAAAATGCCATTCTCACTGCGTCTAAAAGCCCAGACTGTTTCTTTACTTAACGTGAAATTGTGTATTTTGGTACTGCTCTCCAACAACAGTTTAGCAGGAAAAAAGGAGTTCTCTTTATGAGACAGCCAGGGAAATACACAAAGAACAGGAATATGCACCTAACCTAAATAATGGCTTTAAAAATGAAATAGCTATCTGGCTATAAATCAAGAATATTAAGTAAATATAATTGTTTTTATTAAAAGAAGACACCGACTTAATTCCTGGGGATAATGACACCGTTTCTCAAACTTTAGTTTTAACTTCGTTTAGTTTAGTTTTTTGAACTCGGAAAAACGCCAGCAACTGTTTACTTTAGTTTAGTTTAGTTTTTTAACTCGGTAAAACCACACCAACCGCCGTCTTCACACCTACCCCCGGCGCAGCCAACATGGCGGGCGCGGCGCCCCGCCTCACGCGCCCGTTCCCGCCAAAACGCGGGCGCGCGCCCCCCCCACTGTTCCCTCCCCGCTCCCCCCGTCCAATAGCGACAGGCCCCACCCCCCCGTCCGCGCGCGGCGCCGTTGGTGACGTCACGGCGGCACTCGCGCAGGCGCAGACGGTGCAGCCGTTGCCGCCGGTGTGTCAGAGAGGGAAGCGTTCTACCCTGCGGCCCCCGTCTCGGCTGAGAAAAGGGGGTGTCTCCACCTGCTCTGAGGGGAACTGTGTGTCCGCTCACCTCCCCTGAGCCTTCTGGCAGGTACTGTGGGTGTCCCCCCCCCTCCGTCAGCACCGCCTGTCTCCTCAGGCTTGCGTGGGCAGGGTGAGGAGGAGGGTGGGCTCTGAGGGGAAAAGAGGGCTCTGAGGGGAAGGGAGCTCTGAGGAGAAAGGGGGGGCTCTGATGAGGGCTCTGAGGGCAAAGGGGGGCTCTGATGGAGGCACTGAGGGGAAAGGAGGGGCTCTGACGGGGGGTCTGCGGGCAAAGGGGGGGCTCTGATGGAGGCACTGAGGGCAGATGGGGGCTCTGAGGGCAAAGAGGGGGGCTCTAATGCAGGCTCTGCGGGCAAAGGGGGGCTCTGATGGGGGCTCTGCGGGCAAAGGGGGGCTCTGATGGGGGCTCTGCGGGCAAAGGGGGGCTCTGATGGGGGCTCTGAGGGCAAAGGGGGGCTCTAATGGGGGCTCTGAGGGCAAAGCGGGGCTCTGAAGGCAAAGGGGGGCTCTGGTGGGGTCTCTGAGGGCAAAGGGGGGCTCTGATGGGGGCTCTGAAGGCAAAGGGGGGCTCTGATGGGGGCTCTGAGGGCAAAGGGGGGCTCTGATGGGGGCTCTGAAGGCAAAGGGGGGCTCTGATGGGGGCTCTGAGGGCAAAGGGGGGCTCTGATGGAGGGGAAAGGGGGGCTCTGATGGGGGCTCTGAGGGCAAAGGGGGGCTCTGATGGGGGCTCTGAGGGCAAAGGGGGGCTCTGATGGAGGGGAAAGGGGGGCTCTGATGGGGGCTCTGAGGGCAAAGGGGGGCTCTGGTGGGGTCTCTGAGGGCAAAGGGGGGCTCTGATGGGGGCTCTGAAGGCAAAGGGGGGCTCTGATGGGGGCTCTGAGGGCAAAGGGGGGCTCTGATGGGGGCTCTGAGGGCAAAGGGGGGCTCTGATGGGGGCTCTGATGGCAAAGGGGGGCTCTGGTGGGGTCTCTGAGGGCAAAGGGGGGCTCTGAGGGGAGGGGGGTCCGTGAGGAGGCTGCCTAGAACCGGGCAGTGTCTGGCAGTGGGTCCTGCAGGTGTAGGGCCACCTGTGTATGGCAGGGCAACGGGTGGGCGCAGCTGTGGGGCCGCCTCTATGTGATGGGTCAGGCTGGGAGCGGGGAGATGTGGGGCCCCCTTTGTGTGATAGGGGTCGGGATGAGGGGGGGAGATGTCGGGCCTCTTCTGTGTGACGGGTGTGAGCTGTGGGGCTGCCTGTGTGTAGTGGGGAGGTCTGGTTGGGGGGAGCAGTGAGGCAGCTTCTCTGACTGGGGTCTGGGTGGGGGGAGCTGTAAGGACACCACCCTCCCCGGGGTGGCTGGGGGGAGATGTGGAGGCTGCCTGCATGGGACAGTCGGGTCTGGACGGGGGGAGCTCAGAGGGGCCCTGTGTGTGACAGGGGAAGCTGTGGAAGTTTTCTGTGTGTGACAGATCTAGGCTGTGGGTACTGTGGAGTCTTGGGCAAGGGAGACTGGGGCTGTGTGTGGCAGAGGGGCCTGCATGGGAGAAGCTGGGGGGTTTGGCGCAAGGGGAGCTGTGGGGGACCTCCCTGTGTAGCACTAGGGTCAGTGACTTATGGATTGTCAAGGTGAAGCCTTCCCTCATTACTGTGCCTTAGTAGAAGAGGGCAGGGGGTATGGGAGGACATATTTAAGTCTGGAGGTGAAAACCCCACACCCAGCCCTCTAAGTGGGGCTTTCTTGCTAGAAAGAAACCAAATGTCACTTTTTTTCCAGTCCCCTAACAGTGCACCTTCTGCTTCTGCAGGAGAACGTGGGTCAGGGAGAGAGGTTGGGAGCATGAGGGTGGGGGGAGAGGATCTCTGCTTAGGGCTGCTCCCTTTGTTAATGTGGGAAGGGAAGTCTTGGGGCTCAAACTGTATGAAAAACCTGTCAAAAAATTACCAGGCATTGCGTTCTTGTATAATTCTTCCATTAATCCTGATGTTAACTATTTCACCATTGAATCACTGTACCACTAAGAAGCAGGTAATGTGATTTGGGGTTTGTTTTTTTGGTTTTTTTTTGTTTTTTTTTTTTTTTTGGTAGTAACATATAGTTGAAGTGTTTGTCCCAGAAAGCAAATTATTTATGTTCCCATCTAGTGAAGAATTACGTGACAAGTTTTTCAGTGAGTGGCAGGAAGGATCAGTAGTATATTTTGGTGACGGGACTAACAGAAAAAGTCACCGGGGTTATTTCTTTCACATAAGGTGTTACTGGGCGTAAAGGTAGCTACTTTTCAGATGTGCTGAACTCACAGGAGGTGGCTGTGCAGTCTGAAAATACTCTGTTACCAACTGAAACGAGTGGGAATTTTCAATAGAAAAACTTCAGAGCTGTGCAGGGCCTTTCCTTCCTCTGTCTTCCTTTGCTTGGAGAAGGCGGGGGCTTTGCCTCTCGCTTCTGAAGGATGTTATTTTGCAAAAATGGGGTTGGAATCTGTCTCTGTCCTCTTATCTGTACCTCACTGGAGAAGATGGACGCTGTTCCTCAGTGATGACGTGACAGTGCTGACAGAGTTCATTGAAGAAATATTACCTATTTTTACTGGTGAAAGAATCTGCTTTTTCTTTAATAAGCTAAACATGACTCTGGCTAGAGGTAAAGTCCATTTATATCATTTGTTTTAGATTGCCGCTTTTTTTTTTTTTCTTTAGTCATGTGCTGACTGAGGATCTTACTATATAAAAGTTTACAAATTTTGTCATTTCTCCGTATTTGTTATTACAGATAATGACACCAGAACAGAGTCCAGCGACTTCCCTCATCGACAGGACCATCAAGATGAGGAAGGAGACTGAAGCCCGGAAAGTGGTCTTGGCCTGGGGACTCCTTAATGTGTCTGTTGCAGGCATGATATACACCGAAATGTATGTTAATTGTTGCATCTGATTCAAACCACCAAAGCATCCTACTTTATATATGCCTAAATATCTCCCAGGAGTGAATAGTCACAAATTGCTAACTGCCTATTTTTCTTTTCAGGACAGGAAAACTGATAAGCTCGTATTACAACGTCACATACTGGCCACTCTGGTATATTGGTGAGTCGCTGCAGCATATTTTCAGGGTTCTTTTCTTTTTTTTTTCACTTGTCGGTTTTATTGCCAGAGTGGTAGTTTTTAAACAACCTTTTTTTTTTTTTTTTTCTTGAGGTTTTTTGTTTGTTTTAAATTTAAACCAAAACTTTGGTTTGCTTTCCGTTCTCTCCCTTCAAACTTGGAATTTTGTCCGTTTTAGTGACAGATAAGGGGTGTTAGCAGCTTTCTCAGATATAAAGAACTTGTGTGGTGCATTAAATCTGCTTAACGTGTGCTGTAAGGCTTTGGTGAACACTGCAGATTTTAGTACTATATTGTGCTCTGTGTGTGGATGGCATTTCACAATAATTAAAGTTTGTTTCGGATGAGTAGACTCTAAGATAGCTGTATCAAATACTGTTAGAGTATGAAGCAAGTGGAGGAGCAAAATCATGAGATGAGTGATACGTGATTTGACAGATGCTGTTTGAGAAATACTGTGAAACTTCATTGCAGTTGTTCATGTCCCTTTTGGAAAATGACAGTCCATTTTTAAAAATTCAGCTTTAGTAATATAAATTAATCTCAATATAGAAAGGAAAATTACCTCCAGGGCTTCTTGCATAAGAAGGTGAAGGAATCTTAGACGCTTCCCAAATTGATACTTGTTGATCACACTAACAGTGACCTATTTTTAATGGGCATATGCCTGTTTTTGCAAATAATATACTTTTATTATTCCCCATGCTCAAACTGTGGTAAAAACTTCTCTGTTTCATCTAGAACTTGCACTTGCATCTCTGTTCAGCCTGAATGCCTTATTTGATTTCTGGAGGTACTTCAAATACACAGTGGCACCAACAAGCTTGGTCATGAGTCCTGGCCAGCAGACCCTGCTGGGGTTGCAGAATGCAGGTGGGTCTAATAAATATCTCTGGCAATCTTTTTTATTCTTTTTGTTTGTTTGTTTCAAGATGGTATCTTTCTCAATGACAAGATTCTTTAGCGAAGCGAGTTCTGAATTACCTTGTCTGACAGGAGCGGTAAACTGAATTACCTGCAGTGTATTAAAATTCACAACATCGAGTGATAATTTGATGGGTTCTTGTGGGGAGATCTGGAGGGGAAGCAAACACACATGGTGAAAAGGACAGGATAGTAACGGCTGCTGAAGGACAGGGAGAGACTTGAACACTGTGAGGTTGGACAAGGAATTTGTAACCTGTAACGTAGGACCAGGAGCAAGGCAGAGAGCGCAGGTTTATATTTAATTTTGATGTCCTACTAATGTCACGCTGGGTAATGAAAATCAAATTAGAGGGACAGATAGACCTTTGCTGAAGTCTGAAAATGACAGCCTAGAGAGCAGTCACTCAGCAAGCTTTTGAGGATCAAAGCAAAGTTCTAAAAAAGGAACCTGACAACAAGGTAAATACACCAAAAGCAAAATGCTAGCACAGTAGTATTGTGCTGTGCTGGTCTGCCTCTAGAAAATGGGAAGCAGATGGGAGTAATGCTGTATCAGCAAAGTTCAAGGATCTCCTGTGTTTATTTGTGCGGATAAATTAAGACATTCAGTTTATTGAAGATGCATAAAGTAGGCAGGTAGAGTAGCTAATTAAGTAGGTTAGAGAAGCCCCACAGGTTATGCAAGGTGCCTGGGAACATTTAACTGAAACCTGAAGCTGTAGGATTTGTACCGAGTTGTGGTCTTGTGTCTCTGTCTTCTTTTTTTACTGTCAGTGGCCTGTCTGCTGAGTTCCAGCCAGATTTTTCCAGTGTCCCTTCTAGCACCCTTTTAAAATTGCCTTAAGATAGCGTTGTGTATTTATTTAAAGGGGGGAGGAGAGTTTGGGGCTGTTGCATCCACAATGCTAATTCTGTTTTTTCCTATTGCAGCAATCCAAACAACTCCACCACGTGAGCTGGCAGCAAACAAAGTCCCGTCTTCGACACCTTCTCCTCCGATCCAGGGTCAGAGTGTGCTGAGTTACAGCCCGTCCCGCTCCCCTAGTGCCAGTCCAAAGTTTACTACCAGTTGTATCACAGGGTACAGCCCTCAGCTACAGGCTCTGTCGAGCAACAGCACTTCTTACGGCAGTGCTGTCACCTATTCACCAGGCAGCAGCTACAGTAAGGTAACAACCAAGACAGCTCCCGTGGGTACACTTCGGTCCTTGTTTTGTGCCATATGCCATCGAAGGTGAGCAGCAGCCAGCAGAGAGTTGTCTGTATGCGTGTTTGCTCCTTTTGCAAATTAGATCTAAATTTGTTGTACTGGGATTTGTCCTTTTTCCCTACTGTCACTTCATTTGTTTTAGAGGGGCTAGTGTGTTTCAGAACTAAGCAAAAATAAGAAACCAAAATGTAAATGCAAAGGAGGAAAAAAAAAAAAAAAAAACCAACAAAACAAACAAACCAAAACAACAAAAACCAAACCAACACAACCCAAACCCCAAACAAGAGTCTTTTATATTCATGTCATTTGCAAATCAAGGTGGAATTCTGTCTTCCTCATACGACACAACCATTTGTTTTTATTTTCCCAAGGTTTCCAGCTTCAGCTCCTCTCCCAGTGGGTCACCGTACCCCATGAATATTGGGCCAGTGGAAAGCGGCAGCCTAAGGTCTCGTTACCGCTCCTCACCCATTCTGTATAATTCTCCTACTGGTAAGGAAGATTATATGACAGACCTCAAGTCACTGGACACCTTCCTTCGGAATGAAGAAGAGAAACAGCAGAGAGTTCAACTAGGTAAATAAACCAATTTGATCAGGAAAGGTTGGTGGGGAGAAGGTGGTGGTTTAATTCGAGATTGGCTTTTGCAGGTGAGAAAAGTTGCAAAGGATTCCAGCGTAGTCATACTAGTAAATTAGACCTAACTCATTCATGGTAATCACCTGTGAGCTTGGTGAAGGTGGTTGCTGACCTGTTTAGATATCTACTGAGTGACTGGGACGTGAGGTAGGGCGCCATCATTTCTACCTGTCTCCGTGGCTTAGCTTCAGAAAGATTTCCTCTAAAGTATTCCTTAGGATAGGATTGATGCTGCTGTTGCAGCGTGTGGGAATGTGCGCTGAGAGATTGTCTCTGTGGTGTTTGTTGACTGCAGTGGACCATGATAAGTTGGCAGGTGTTACTGCCTCGATGAGAAGGATATCTTATGGAGAAGGCATTTCCAATAAAGGGGGTGAATTACCTGCAGGCAGTTTTTCTTCTGGATGGGGACAACCAGGGGTGAAACCAGTGTTTATGCAGGCTGACTTCAGTGTATGTGGCGGTTCGTGTCCGTGTTTCTTGCCAAAGCATTAATACACGGACCTGTTGTGCCTGTAGTTTCTTCCAGAATTACTTGGCAATAATTGTACACGACTGTTTAATGAATGAATCGTTTCAGGAAGTTCAGATTCCAGCTCTCCTTCCAGCAGCCCAACTTTTTGGAACTACAGCCGTTCCATGGCAGACTACGCACAGATGCTGAGAAAGTTCCAGTATCAGCTGGCTTGCAGGTCCCAGGCTCCGTCAGCGCACAAGGATGAAGCTGATCTGAGCTCAAAACAGGCTGCAGAAGAGGTAAATTCAGCAGCAAGGTGGTCAAGAGGGAGAAACGGGCCTCTAAAATATACGGCTTTGTGCAAAGGTTTGGATTTGAACTGTATCAAAAATGCAGGAGAGAGAAATCCTCTAGCGTGTAACCGTCTTCGTACAGCTTGCGAGAATCCTTGTCACTGTAAACGGACATTCCAGATTCTGAGTTGTAGTTGGAAAATTATTTCTCCCTTGGAGAGCAAGAATTGCACTGGATAAAATACAATTTTGATCTAAAAATTGAGTTGAAATGGATCTGTCTTTAACCCAGTGCAACAGCTGAAGAATATAAAGCATAAAGCCGTTACGCTTGCATCTGAAAGAAGTCTGGCGTGAAGGAATACAATTCATGTGGCTTCAATTAAATCTGATTGATTTTCTTTATTTCCTACATTAACTTAATGAAGCTTCCCCTTCAAATACCTCTTAAACCAAGCCTACAATTCAGAGAAATTTTGTCCTAATAGAGCGGAGAGATTAAAACTGAATTTGGGCTCATGCAGGATGATTGTACCGTGAATAGAGAGTGAGAGTGTCACATGTGAAGCTGCTGTAGAAGTCACGTGATACAGCCAGCAGATGTGTAAAAATTTGGGGGAAAATGTGAATTGAATTGTGTAGTTAGTATCAAATTGTCACGGACTCTAAAAACCTTTGGTATTCTGTGAAGTTCTTACATGTAGTTCATAAATCTTTCCATAGGTTTGGGCACGGGTGACAATGAACCGACAGCTCCTTGATCACATGGATTCCTGGACCGCGAAGTTCAGAAACGTAAGTCCCCTCTTCCCTGGTTTTTAAGAACCAGCACAGCAGAGTGGAAAAGCACCTTCGTGTGCCCTGCGCGCCGAAGGAGGCGGGAAGAATTGCAGTGTCCCTCAGAGGACTGGGGTGGGCTGGCACAAGGAGGTGAAAACACGGCATGCTTCAAGAGAGGATTACAGAGATGAGGTTTTGACCTGACCTCGGTGGTTTGTATTCTGAAAACTTGGCAGTAGTAAAGTTCATCCACCTTTGAACGACAAACAGAAGCATCTCGGACAGGACAAGATCTGGTGTAACTCAGATTGCTAAATGGATGTTTTTGTGGTATTTCTAACTCACTCTCCTGGGCTCAAAGCATGGATAATTCCAACCCAAAGATGTTTTTTTTTTTTTTTTCTGACTGACCTGAACAGCATAATAAAAGCAAAAGGAAAAACCTTGATCTTACTGATAGGAATTGCTGTAGCAGAGGAGACTTAATTACACATAATGGCAAAATAATTAGTAAATCTAGCTTTGAATTGCCCCTTCAGTCATAGCATCTACCAGGTATGTAGTTTTGCTTGTGTGTTTTGTGTTTTTTTTTTTTCGTTTTTAAAGTAGTGATTGGTGAAAAGCAAAGCTTAGCATGAGATCCATACCAGGTACCTGAGCATCTGCTGCTAAGCCTAGGGCCAGCTTGCTTCAGTTCCCAGATCCTGTCACGTACAAATCCCACACGTAGTGTTTATCAGCTCCTCAATTTCCTGAAAGAAATGTGAGAGGGAGTGGACTCACCGAAGTATAAATCATCTTTATGGATGGAGGGCTGTGCTTCAAAATAGCCCTTTCTTCCTTGTTCAGCAAAGCTTTACCTGACAGTTTGTAGAGATTTGTTTTCTTGACTCTTTTACTTTGAATTTTCTGGCCTTTTAGAAAGTATTAAAGAGTCATTTAAACTCTGCCTAACTTGATATTTAATTACTTTTCTCTTTGGTTGGCTTCAGTGTTTCTGTTGTTCAGCTGCTTCATGATTGTAACAGTGATGATCAGTAGGATGCAAGCTAAGAGCTGGGGGGGTTTTTTGCACGTTTTTATTGTTTCTGACCTCTTGAATTTTCACCTTTTTCTTTCCTAGTGGATTAATGAGACTATTCTAGTGCCGCTTGTCCAAGAGATCGACTCTGTGAGCACTCAGCTGCGAAGAATGGGCTGTCCGGAGCTGCAGATCGGCGGTATGCCGGGGGGGGGGTGGCTTTGGGCTGGCTGCTGGTGGCGGGGCGCTGGGGCTGGTGAGCAGCGCTGTTCCCTTGCGCTCCGTACTGGGGTGGTCTCTGTTCCATGCCACGTGTTTCACTAAACTGGAAAGGGTCTTCAGAAAACTTCGGGAAATACTGATGCTGGCACACCGATACTTGTCTTGTATAAAGTTCATGAGCTTTTTTCCTTTTTTTTTTTCCCCTTTTTCCTTTTTCTCTTTTTTTCGTTCCTTTTATTTTTCTTTCCTTCCCCTTTTTTTCTTTCCCTCCCCCTTTTTCGTTTGTCTCTCCCCTCTCCCCTCTCCCCTCTCCCCTCTCCCCTCTCCCCTCTCCCCTCTCCCCTCTCCCCTCTCCCCTCTCCCCTCTCCCCTCTCCCCTCTCCCCTCTCCCCTCTCCCCTCTCCCCTCTCCCCTCTCCCCTCTCCCCTCTCCCCTCTCCCCTCTCCCCTCTCCCCTCTCCCCTCTCCCCTCTCCCCTCTCCCCTCTCCCCTCTCCCCTCTCCCCTCTCCCCTCTCCCCTCTCCCCTCTCCCCTCTCCCCTCTCCCCTCTCCCCTCTCCCCTCTCCCCTCTCCCCTCTCCCCTCTCCCCTCTCCCCTCTCCCCTCTCCCCTCTCCCCTCTCCCCTCTCCCCTCTCCCCTCTCCCCTCTCCCCTCTCCCCTCTCCCCTCTCCCCTTCAGCTTACTGCTGGGGAATTACAGGCTCAAATTATCATTGATGATTGCATATTAAGCTGTTAGAAAACATTTCAAAGATAGATGTGCTATAAATTCTCGGTGTCTCCCTGTAATGTCTCACTGTCTCCACTACTATGTGCTTTTCCAAATGCATCCTTAACTGTTTTTTAAAATTCTGATGGAGTTCTGCTTTTTGTGTCACAATACAATTCTGAAGTACCTGCTTCTCTCATTGCTTCAAATCTTAACCAACAAGTGGATTTGATATGCTGCACTGAAATTAAATTCACCTTTTGTGACCTGTTTGTTGGAGCCTCTCCTTGAGAGCTGCCTCTGTCGCGATGCCGGTAGAAAAACTGGTCAACACCGGTCCCGTCCCCACTTTGTTACTCTCCAAAGTGGATGTTGGTTCCTTGTAGCTTTTCTGTTCTGTGACGGAAAGGAGACATCTGCTACTTCACTGGAGTTGCAGTGAGCATTTGGGGTAGTGTCACGTGTTAAATGTTTCTAGGACTTTAAGGAGAGCTCTTGGGAGCGACGCCTGGTGAGGGAGGCTGCGCGGGCTCCTCGCGGCTGACCCGCGCGGGCTCTTCCTCTTGCAGAAGCCAGCATCAGCAGTCTGAAGCAGGCAGCGCTCGTTAAAGCTCCACTCATTCCAACCCTGAATGCTCTAGTGCAATATCTGGATCTCACACCAAACCAGGAGTATTTGGTCGAAAGGATCAAAGGTACGTGGTGTCGCGGCACTGACTTTCCAGTTACCACAGTTGAGTGTCGGTGGTATCAGATGTTCATACAGTGGAGATGTTTGAAGAGTCACGGCAGGGATGAGAGCTGCTTTTAAGCAGGGGAGATGTTTCTTTGCAACTTTTTACAGTGATGGAATGATGCGAGATTTGGATGTAACTTTGGGAATATTTTTAAAAAGCTTTCTTTCTCATTTTTCTCCTGCGTGCTCAGGGTGCAGAGTGCTCGATTTAATCTCTTTGTTAACTAAAACAAAAAATTAGCCTGTAAATTTACTTCCCCGTATTATCATCTTTACAAGCATTTCATTAGGTGAACTTTTCCTGTTTTGTACACCAGAAACATGTACGAAACCCCTGAAACTAGCATAAAACACTGCTTTCATACGCTTCCAACCCCCAGTAACTGCCTGCATCTCGCTTGCAGAGCTTTCTCAGGGAGGATGCATGAGTTCATTCCGCTGGAACAGAGGAGGGGATTTCAAAGGCCGCAAGTGGGACACCGACTTGCCCACCGACTCCTCTGTAAGTTTTGGAAGCCGTCTCGATACGACAGCTTAAAGCGAGTTGCCTTTCAGCAGAGGTTTTGGAGAGGGTAACCAGTAAATCTTTTGAGGAACATGGTAAAATCCTGTTTGCATCACCGACACAGATAATCCCGTTGCAGCCCGTGGGGATTAATGCAAAGGGGGTTGGACATCGCGTAGATCACAAAACTGCAGTTGCTCGTTTTAGTCTTAGGTGGAGCTTTTACTTCCAATCCTCTGAAACATCTGTCAGGTAACTGCAGGGAGCAGCCTGAGCAGCAGTGGGGATCTTGCTGGGGCACTTCTCTTGTTATATTTTTTTAAAAAGCCAAATGTCTGCCTTAACCTAACAATTCCTAGTGTGAGGAAAACCTTTCACCTCGTTCTCATTTTCCTTTGCCATAATGGATGGAGGGGGAAAAATGCAGATGGAGTGGTGTGATCACTGTTTCATTCAGTTTGTGAGAAATCTGAAATCTGTTGCATATCCTACATGAGAGAAGACTTGTGGTGCTGCTCAGCCTGGTAATCTGAGCGGGCAGGAGGAGCAGCACCTCAGTGTGCTTGAAAATTCAACTGAGGTGATTAAAATAATGAAAAAAGACGACCACAGAACAATTCAGGAAGTATAAAACAGACTTTACAGCGTGATTCTTCAGTTGAACTCTGTATCTGAAAGTAGAGTTAGGGTGATTGATTTATTTTTTTTTCCCCGCTGTAAATAGATTTTTTTTCAGTTACTTGGGAGACTAAAAACCAGGAGATCTGAATGTCAGAGCTTCACGGCTTTGCTGACAAAGATACAACGAGATTCAGTTGCTGGAAGCTGAAGCTGTATAAAATCAGTCTCGAGATAAAATTTGATTTTCTATTTGTGAAGACGATTCAATATTGGTAGTGACTGGCCACGGAGCAACTCTTAGTGTCTTGCCAAGCAGCTGGGTGAGCAGCTCAAAAGTGTTTAAAGATCACGAGAGGAGAGTAGCGCACCCTGGAATTCAGTCTTTTATCAAAACCAGCGGGGAGAGGTGGTGTTGGGCAGCACATTGAACTCCCAAGAATTCTGAGAAGGAAGCTCTGCTCTAACAGATTAAAATAAACACTTGCCGTGAAGTTCTGACATTAACTTACTCAAGACAATTACTATAAAAATAAAAAAAAAAAAAATACAATTGCGCGTTTTTGTTAATCACACTGCAGGCAGTACAAAGCTGTGATTTCCAAGGTGCATCTCCCAGATTTCTCGAGACTTTTGGCATTTAGCCCAGAGGAACTCTTCTGGTTTGTCTGTGAAACAGGTCCCGTTATATATATTGAACACAGAAAGTATCAGATTACAGATAATTTGGTGACGTCCGCGTAAAACGTTGGGAACTCTTCAGAAATGGTTAAAACACCAATAGCAGGCTGCGGCGTGCCTTTCTGGATACTTATTTTAGGACTTTATTTCAAAATTTTGCCATTCTGATCACGACCCATGGCCAGCTCCGGGTTTTTCCAGTGATTTTTTGTTTTGCCTTTCACGAGGAGAAAGAAATTTGCTCGATAGGTGTAGTGTCGGTGAAGCTGTACTTTGATTTCATCCGCCCTTCTCAGCCAAACCCTCGCAGCTAGTACAGAACCCGTCGCTGAAACAGATGGCTTGGAGTTCGTGGCCTCGATATGGGAAGTAAAATCTGTGACTCTGCCAAATTCTGCAAGATGCCGGGATAAAGTCGCTCGCGCGGGAACCGAGCTCCTGACACGCAGCATCGGTTTATCGCGTTGCGACTGACGCCGTTTCACTTACTGGAAAAAATAAACCTGCCTTCGTGCCAGGGCCGTTGAAAACTCTGCTTTTTGAACTCCTAAACACAGAGGGGGGAAGTCACCGTTGCAACCACAGCCTATCAAATGCTGTAACTCACGCCTGATGCGACGGCAAGAAAGCTGCTGGGTTTTTAAGGACGCTAAAGTGAGCTTTGTTTTGCTTTGCCCAGATCATCATGCACGTGTTCTGCACTTACCTCGACTCCAGGCTGCCACCTCACCCCAAATACCCCGACGGCAAAACCTTCACTTCCCAACACTTCATTCAGACGCCGGATAAACCAGGTACCGGCGCTCCCCTTCCCCCCAGCTCTCTGCCTCTTGGGTCACCTCAGCGCCCTCGAAACCCCCCTCAACTCCAAAAATTTGCATCCGCAGACACTTCAAATGAAAACGTCTTTTGCATCTACCAGAGCAGCATCAATCCACCCCACTACGAGCTGATCTACCAGCGCCACGTCTACAACCTGCCCAAGGTAGGATGGTGGTAGCGGTGTTCTCCTGCTGTCAGGAAATCATGGTTGGGTTTTGGGTTTTGTTTTCCCAGTTTTAGCCACATTGATTGATTCTTGATGCGTAGGCTGGCCCAGTGCAGCAAGTAAACCTTGGCTCGGTCTTTGACCACCGTGTGGCACTTAGCCTGCTGCAAAATAATAGCTTTAGTATCTATTTAAGATCCTAAGTACGGAGGTAGTGGCATCCTCTTGTTTATTTTCTAACAATTTATTGTAAAATCCCGAGTCTTGCGATCCCTGATGCGTGTTGGCACCCGCCCACGAGCCCGCTGCTTGTCCTTAAAAATTCTGGGGGAGAAGCCTGCAGTCTCAAAGGAGCAAAATTCTCCCGTGGATTTAAATTTTCTATCAATCCCTGATTGTTGCTGGATCTCTGCTTTCCGAAAAGCACTGAAAGTGTTTAGAGATGTTAATCCAACCAAAACCCACATTTGGTCTTTGTCTGGTATTTACCTAATTGAAAAAAAAAAAAAAAAAAAAAGTCAAGTATTGAGGCAAAAAGCCCAAGAGCCACCCCCTAAAGCCACTTCCCGATGCGGTTTGCTCATTTTACCTGAAATAGCGCTCTGATTTCTCACCGGTGACTTAATTCCGAAGTTCTTTTCTCTTCCTGTGACTTCAGGGCAGAAACAACATGTTCCACACGTTGCTCATGTTTCTCTACATCATCAAGACGAAGGAGTCCGGGATGCTGGGGTAAGCGCCGGCGGGACGCGACCGCAGCGATCCGGTGTGGCTCCTTCTCGGAAGGCGCCTCAAACCGAAACCGCTGGGGCGGGGTGAGCCTCCCGGCGGTCAGATCACCCTCTCGTTTGAAACACTTGCAGCTTTTTTTTTTTTTCCTAAAATTGGCTAAACTGGAACACGCGCGAGCAATGAAAGCGACGTCCGGCGTCCTCTTTGTTCTGAAAAAGCCGCGCTCGATTCACGGCGCCGCGCGACACCCCCCGCCTGTCGAAGCCTGCGAGCGCTAGGTGTATCGCTTTCACGTTTTAAACGGGCGCTTCAACACGCCGTTTGTGACAGTAATTTTTATTTTTGCAGGCGTGTCAACCTCGGTTTATCAGGAGTCAACGTTCTGTGGATTTTTGGAGAGTAACACCTCCGGCGGGACACCGGTTCGGAGGAGCGATGCCGAGAGAACTGAGCAGCGTCGTTCTGTTGTTGACTTAAACATGAATTTACTACAAAAAAAAAGGATAATTCCAGCTCTGCTTTGTGGGCAGAGGGGGTGAAGTGGTTGTAATTCCCCTGCGGGTTTTGTGACTTTATTATTTAAAACATCTTGCCGTCGAAACGCTGCGACGTGCCAACGCCAGGCGGGTTTTCTCTTCCGGTCTCCTCCGCTGAACGAAACAGGTTTTAAAAAATGGGTTTTGCTGGTTCTGCTCCGTGCCTGACGCTGCCGTCACCGCTCGGCTGAGCTTGACTGATCCCGGGACTAAACTCCAGCCGCCGGCGAGGGCTGGGGCAGCCGCAAGGGGAGAAACAGCAATTGGCAGGAGCCACGAAATTCTGGATGAGCACGAGAAAAGCCGAGTTAAAAAGTTGAGATTTGTTTTGGTTCATTTTATTGTGTATGAAAAGAAAAACATCACTTTTTTTTTTTTTTTTTTAATCCCTGTTTATTGGTGTAATTGGGTTTTCTGACCCAAGAGGGTGGGGTCTGCGCTGCTGGTGTGACGCAAGGAGAAAACTGTGTTTGATGCGCTGGTTTCAGTAAGTAAGATTTTTATTTTCATTTATTTTTTGAACAAAATGAGCATGCCATCCAACTTGGGCAGCCTTGCAAGCTCCAAATGACCAGCTGCCTCCAATACAACCCCACCCTTACCCTGCCTTTGCTTTTTAATTGATTTTTAACTGCTCCCATCACCCTCTTTTTTTTTTTTTTTTTTTTTTTTCCCCCCTCATACTTATTTCGGGAGCCTGACAGACCGGCACGGGGCTCCAGCACCTCAGCAGGAGACCAGGCTGTATAAACCCGCGGAGTTCTGAAGTCCCCGCTCGTGGGGATGCACCTTTTGGGGAAAAAAAAAAAAAAAAAAAACAAAAAAACCCCACAACCCTGGATTTGTCTCCAAAAAAAAGTTGTTCAATATTTGCCAAAAAACTTTTTTATTTTGGGGGAAGAGGGGCGGGGAGGGAAAAAAAATCTCTTGTAAATTCTGACAAATGCGGGGTTTAGAAGTGCGTAGAGTTAGTAATTATTTTTTTAGAGTTGGGGGGGTAAAAATTCATAAGCCCCAAGATGCTGGAGATCTTTGTGAGCGGAAGACGAGGATCCCGGCCTGTTCCCCCGCCCTCGCACTCAAAACTGCCAAAAAACCCCACTTGTACATAAAAGATGTGAGAATTACACCGGCTTGTTCCCAGGGGGAGAACGCCACGTGTTTTGTCACGATAGAATGTATTTTTGTACTGTATTTTCTGCTGACGGGAGGGGAAAAAAGGAATTTGTGCTGTTTAATCTCAGTGGGGCGGGGGCAGCCGCTGTTTTTTGGTGTGAACCGACCGTTATTGGCGACTTTGGTCTCCCCGGGGTGGGGGCGCAGGGTTTGTTCAGGCTCGTTTGATTTCCGTATTAAATGAGTTTGGTTTTATCAAACGCTGCTTTGGGGTTTTTCCTAAACCCTTCGCCGTACCAAGGGGGGACTTTGAAGAAGTTTAGTGGGGGGTTTACCCCCAAATTCTCTTCTTTGACCCCAAACGGGGCATTTCTCAAGCTCTGGGAGCCCCGGCGCCCCCAGGATCCCGCGTGGCCCCAGTCCCACTGCACCCCAATAATACCGGGCACCCTGCTCCCCATTAACCCTCCTAAACCACACACCTGTACCCCAATACACTGTGAACCCCCCTAAACTACACCCCCTGTACCCCAATATATTGTGCTTCCCCAGTCCCTGGGAACCCCAACACACCAAGCACCCCGGCTCCCCGTGTGCTACTGGGCACCGTGCACCCCAGATTCTTCTGCACCCCGGTCCCTGTGCACCCCAGATTCTTCTGCACCCCGATACACCATGTGCCCTGGTCCCTGTGCACCCCAAAACGCCAAGCACCCTGGGCCCCATGCACCCCAAAATGCCACACACCCTGGTCCCTGTACATCATCCCTGTGTACCCCAATACACCGTGCACCCCACATTCCTGTGCACCCCAGTCCTCATGCACCCGGGTCCCTGGGCACCCCAATTCTGGTTCATATGGATACACCCTGTCACCCTGCACCCCTGTCCTTGTGCACCCCGATACACTCTCTGCCCTGGTCCCTGTGCACCCCAAAATGCCGCACACCCTGTCCCCATCCATCCCTGTGCACCCTGAAACGCCACACACCCTGGTCCCTGTGCACCCCAAAACAGCACACACCCTGGTCCCTGTGCATCCTCGTCCCTGTGCACCCCAAAATGCCACACAGACTGGGACTCGTGCACCCCAAAACCCCACACACCCTGCTCCCTGTGCACCCCGATACACCGTGCACCCTGGTCCCTGAGCACCCCAATTCACTGTGCACCCCGATTCCTGTTCACACTGATACATCACACACCCTGTCCCCCTGCACCCCAAAACACCACACACCCCGGTTCCTGTGCACCCCTGTCTCCCTGCACCCCAAACCACCACACACCCTGGTCCCCGTGCACCCCAAAACACCATGCACCCCGGTTCCTGTGCACCTCTTCCCCCTGCACCCCAAAACACCACGCACCCTGGTCACTGTGCACCCCAAAACATCACGCACCTCGGTTCCTGTGCACCCCTGTCCCTGTGCACCCCAAACCACCATGCACCCTGGTCCCCGTGCACCCCAAAATGCCACACATCCTGGTTCCTGTGCACCCCTGTCCCCCTGCACCCCAAAACACCACACACCCCGGTTCCTGTGCACCCCTGTCTCCGTGCACCCCAAACCACCACACACCCTGGTCCCTGTGCACCCCAAAACACCACACCCTGTCCCCCTGCACCCCAAAACACCATGCACCCCTGTCCCCCTGCACCCCAAAACACCATGCACCCTGGTCCCCGTGCACCCCAAAACATCACGCACCCCGGTTCCTGTGCATGCCTGTCCCTGTGCACCCCAAACCACCACACACCCTGGTCCCCGTGCACCCCAAAACACCACACCCTGTCCCCCTGCACCCCAAAACACCACGCACCCTGGTCCCCGTGCACCCCAAAACATCACGCACCCCGGTTCCTGTGCACGCCTGTCCCTGTGCACCCCAAACCACCACATACCCTGGTCCCCGTGCACCCCAAAATGCCACGCACCCCGGTGCCTGTGCACCCCTGTCCCCGAGCATCCCAAAACGCCACGCACCCTGGTCTCTGTGCACCCCAAAACGCCACGCATCCTGATTGCGGTGCACTCCCGTCCCTCTGCACCCCAAAACACCACGCACCCCTGTCCCCGTGCACCCCAAAACTCCACGCACCCTGGTCTCTGTGCATCCTCATCCCTCTGCACCCCGATACACCGTGCGCCCCGGTCCCTGTGCAACCCCCCCACCGCGCACCTTGGGTCCCCTGCACCCCGAAACACAACGCGCCCCTTTCCCGCTCCTCCCCCCCCGGGACGGGATCCCCGCGCATCCCCCTCCCTGTGTACCCCGCTTCCCCTCCCCCCCGGCCCCCTCGCACCCCAAAACCCCGCGCACCCCGTTATTAGGCGCATCCCAGCCCCCGGCGGAGGCGGAGCAGGCCCGGCCCCTCCCGGGGGGGGGGGGGGCGGCTGCCGGGGCCCCCCCCGCGCATGCCCGGCACCTCCCGTTAAATCCCGGCGGGCCGCGCTGGGCCGGGACCGCCGCCCCCGGGACCGTTGTCGCTCCCCCCGGGACCGTTGTCGCTCCCCCCGGGATTTTTGTCGCCCCTCCCGCGACATTTGTCGCCCCCGCCATGGCCAGCGAGGGGGAGCCCGGTCGCCGCCGCCGTTGCTGCACGCAGGATGCGCCCGGTGAGCTGGAGGGAGGGAAGGGGAAGGGGGGGGTTTGGGGACTTGAAGAATTAGGTTTAGTAGGGTTTTACCCCCGAATTCTCTTCTTTGACACCCCCACCCTCCCCCCCCCCCCCCCCCCCCCCCCAAACGAGCGTTTCTCAAGCTCTGGGACTCCCGCATGGCCCAAGTCCCTCTGCACCCCGATAATACCGGGCACCCTGGTTTCTGAGAGCCCCCTTAAACCCCACACCTGCTCCCCCCTGTACCCCAATATATTGTGCACCCCCGTCCCTGGGACACCCCTAAACCACACCCCCTGCACCCACAGTGCACTGTGAACCCCCATAAATCCCCTATTCTGGGGGGGGGGGGGGGGGGGGGAATCCCCCCTCCTGAGCATCACATTGAGCACTTGGGGGATTTCCTCCCCGCCCTGAGCGTTACACAGGACATTGGGGTGTCACACCCCCCTCACCCCCCCCCAATCCCAGGCACCTCCTGAGCATCACCTGGGTACCACCCCGGGGACTCCATGTGCCCTGCCCCCCCCCCCCCCGCTCCGTGGGGTTTGGGGACTTGGGTGACATCCCAGCCCAGCACACCACCCCCCCCCCCCCCCCGCCAGGGTGTCCTGCGGTGCTGAGCCTGGGCAGGATTGAGCCCCATCGTGACTCCAACCCCTCTGCAGATGTCCCCAAGGCCACCGAGCCCCCAGGGGACAGCGACGGCCCCCGCCGGGGCTCCCTCTGCGACCGCCACTGCGCCGCCATCAACAACGCGCAGGGTGACTTGGGTGACCCGGGCTGCCACCTGCACCGTCCCCGTGTCCCCCCAGGTAGGTCGGCCACGGGATGGGCTAGACACAGGGTGCTGGCGGGGGGGGGGGTGGGGGGTGTCCCCGCATCCCTGTCACCTTCCATTTCGCCGGCAGCTGTGTCCCCCCTGTCCTGCTGCCAGCAGCACTCGGACGAGGTTTGCGAGAGCTGCGTGGTGAAAACCACCCTGACGGCCGAAAACGCCGTGGAGGCCAACAAGCTCTCCAACAACTACAAGGTGGGTGCCTGTGGCATGGGTGGGGGCACCCGTGGGTGCTCCTGGATGGCTGCAATGGGTTAAAAACCCAACAAAAACAACAACAACAAAAATCTCTGCAGTTTGGCTTCAAGAAATGGAAGAGCCACGTGACAGCGCGGCCCTGGGAGGACCGGTCGGAGATCGTCAAGGAGCTCTACTCCGACCTCAATGTCATCCGGGGCTTTGGAGGTGGGTGGCTTTGGGAACAGCCCTGTGCGGTGGCAGCGTGGCTTTGGGCTGCTGTAGGTGACAAGGGTCCCATCTGGTGCTTCCCCTCTCGCAGGGTCCACGGTGACGTGTGGGAATGTCCTCTACCTGCTGCTCTTCGGCTGGTGGCTCTCGTTCCTCTACGTCCTCGTGGCTGCTGTGATGTTTGTCACCGTCGTGGGGGCTCCTTATGGTGAGTCCCAAATTTGGGACCCCCCCCCACCATGTGAAGAGCTGGGGGGGGGGGGGGGTCTCCTGGCTGAGCCCAAAACGCCACTGATGGGTGTTTGGGGTGTCCTGGGTCCCTTCTCTGCAGGGTGGCCCCAACAAAGCTGATCCTCGTGTCCCCGCAGGGCGGCTCTGCTGGGACCTGGCCGGGTATTTCCTCTGGCCCTTTGGCAAAGTGATCCAGAAAGCAGAGGTAACAGCGTACCCCAAATCAGGACTTCCACTGGAGGATAAAGCGGGGTGTCCCATGCTGCATCCTGACACCCCCCCACACACACACACTTCTTCCCAATCTCCCCCCAGGTCCCCAAATCCCGCCGGGCGCTGGGTGCGTGTGAGGCTGGCGCGGGGGAGAGCTCGGCCCTGCTCGGCGGCCCCGCGCCGCACCGCTGGCGCCCGTGGTGCTGGGCACACACCGGACACTGGGTGAGCCCCGTGCTCAGGCACGGTGACACCCTTTTCCCAGGCGTGGGGCACCCCGGGAGCTCCTCGGCGTGAGTGGGGATGGCACCCGTGGGTGCCTCCGCTCCCCCCGGGGTTGGTGGTGGGTGTTTCGGGGTGGGCAGACCCTAAAGGTGACCACCCGTTCGCAGCAGCGTGCCGGCGCCGTGGCGTGGCTGTGCCTGGGCTACCCGGCGCTGGCGCTGGCCCACGGGCTGGTGTGCGTCGCCGCGTGGCTCCTCATCTTCCTCATCCCCGTGGCCAAGCTGAGCGCCCGCACAGCCGCCCGCGTCTTGCTGCTGCCGCCGGAGCGGGTCTTCATCCGGCGCCTGAAGATGGTGGGTGACTCCGCGGAGAGCGGGAGGGTCCCGAACTCCTGCTCCGGGGTGGATTTTTGGGGTGGGTGGGGTGCTCGGAGTTGTCACCCACACGTCCCTCCGCAGACGGAGGTGCCGCTGGAGGGGGAGGTGATCCTCTGCTGCTACCGCGCCGTCAACCCCTACTACTACAAATACGCCGTGGACGGCATCAACGTCTTCGCCGTCAGTATCCTTTTGTGGGCTGGAGGGGGGGAACGGGGCAGGGGGGGCTGCCCCCCCAAATCCCACCTCAGTCATCTCCTTGACCAGCCACCCCAGACCTGCTGCCACTGGTGCTGGTGACGCTGGTGCTGGGCTACGTGGACAGCCACAACCGCCTGACCAGCTCCCCCATCAAGTTCACGTTGGCCTTGCTCTCCATCATGCCGCTCTCCTACTACATTGGGATGGCCATCGCCAGGTGGGTGGTGACCTGGGGGTGGGGGACACTTGGTGGCACGCTGGGGGGGTGGGGACACGTGCCAGCCCCGTTGACTCCCTCCTCTTCCTCCAGCATCTCAGCCCAGAGCAACTTTGCGGTGGGAGCGGTGGTGAACGCCACGTTTGGCTCCATCACGGAGCTCACCTTCTACATCACGGCCCTCATCAAGGGCTCGCGCGAGGGCAACCGCTGCTACGCCGAGATCGTCAAGTCGGCGCTGACGGGGACGCTGGTGGGCTGTGTCCTCTTAGTCCCGGTGAGATGGGGTGGCACGCTCACGGCGTGAGAGCGCCCGGTCTCTGCAAAGCTGGGAGGATGCTGCGAGCAAAGCGCTGATGGGGATTTTTGTGGTTTTTTGTTTTGTTTTTTTTTTTTTTTGTTTGTTTGTTTGTTTTTTTTTTTTTCTTTCTCCATCCTTCAAGGGTCTGTGCATGGTGATTGGAGGCATCCGGCACCAGGAGCAACGGTTCAACAGCCGCTCGGCGGGCGTCAGCTCAGCCTTGCTCTTCCTTTCCGTGGGAGGTGAGTTGGGGACAGGGGTGTCCCCAGGTTTGGGGGAGAGGGGGGTCCCACCACCGTGGGTGCCCACCCCATGTCTCCCCGTCCCCGCAGGCGTCTTCGCCCCGACGCTCTTCTCCAAAGTGTACGGGAAGCTGGTGTGCGGCGAGTGCCACAACGTCACCCAGAACCCGCTGGGCCACTACCTCTGCCACAACTGTCACTTTGACCTGGTGAGCGGGGACGCGGAGCCCCAACCGCTGGGGTTTGGGGTTGGGGACGCTCCAAGGTCACCTGGCCTCCTGCTCTCTTGCTGGGTGGGGTGGTGGCAGCGGGGCTGTCCCTTGTCCCCTGCATCGCCGCTGACGGGCGTTCTCTCTCTGCAGATGGAGAACAACGGCACCCTCTACTACAGCCATGTCCAGTGAGTGTCCGCTGGGGTGGGGACAGGGTTGTCCCCGCATTGGGGTGGCATCTTCTGGGTTGAGTCATGGTCCCGCATCCCTCCCAAGCCCCTCCTTCCCCCAGTGAAGGGCTCTGATCCAGCACCTCGTCTCCCCCAAACCCAGCGGGCAACCCCCTGCCAGGGTTCTCCATGCCAGACCCTGGTGGCACTGAGCACGTGTCACCCATTGTCCCGCAGACCCCTGGTGTACACGGTGTCCCTCCTGCTCCCTGCCGCTTACCTCATCGGCCTCTTCTTCACCCTGAAAACTCACTCGCACATCTACGACATCCACATCAGCGACTGTCACAGTGAGTGTCCCCAAACCACGGGCTGGCTCTTCTCACTGCCCTGGGGTGTTCCACCGCGTCTCTGTTCTTCCCCCCAGTGCCTGGCCACCACCACAGCGCCGTGGTCCACTGGTCTCGCTGGCGGGCCCTGGTCATCCTCCTGCTCTCCACCCTCTGCATGTCAGCCTGTGCCGACCTGGCCACGGAGCACATCAGCCCCATCCTCACCAACTCCACCATCTCACAGGTGAGCGTGGGTGGGGATGGTGGAGGACCTGGTTTGGGTGGCCTTGGGGGCACAGATGTGCCCTCCAGGGATGGAAAGCTGCCCTGGCTACAGGGCTGAGCCCCAAAAGCTGGGGGAAAGATGCTGAGCTCCTCCATGGAACGTGGAGCTGTGGCTGCCCAGGGGTTGGACGCGGTCGGGATCGGGCCACATGCATCCACTGATGTCACCTCTTCCCTGCAGTACTTCATCGGTGTCACCGTGCTGGCAATGGTGCCTGAGCTGCCAGAGATTGTCAACGGCATCCAGTTCGCCCTGCAGAACAACCTGAGCTTGAGGTGAGATGGCTCAAAGGATGGGTTTTGGGGTGTCCTCCTCCAGCATGATCCCCATGCCCCATCCCATAGCTGTGACTTACTGCCAGCGATGGGCTGCCCCTCCCCGCGGCATCGCTGGGTCAGATCCCTGCTGATTTGCCCTCAGGAAGATTTAAAGCCACCCCAAAAATGGGGCCAGATCCAGGTTTTCCTCCCTAATTTGGTTCCCCAAGGTGGGACACGGGGCTGCTGGAGACTCACTCCGTGTTTGGCGGCTCTTAACTCCTGTGTCCTCCCCAGCATCGAGATTGGCAACTGCATCGCCGTCCAGGTCTGCATGCTCCAGATCCCCATCCTGGTGCTCTTCACCATCTTCTACGTGAGTAGCCCCAGGACAGCCCCTGGGTGACCTCCCATAGCGGGGTTGGGGACACGGAGCACTTGAGACGTGGCACAGCCGCCATCCCGAGTGTTCCTCTGCTCCGTGCAGGGGAAGGTGGGGTCAGGTATCTCCTACCTTGGCTGATGCGCTCCCCGGCTCTAGGGACATGTGGCGGAGGGAGTTTAAGGGGTGACGTGGGAGTCCCCAGTCAGTGTGGGGCTGTCCCGGTTGGCCGTAACCAGGTCCTCTCTGCCTCGCAGCCAACCAACTTCACGCTTGTCTTCAGCGACCTCCACGTCTACGCCAGCATGTTCAGCGTGGTGCTCATGAACTACATCTTCATGGATGGCAAATGTGACTACTTCCAAGGTGAGCGCTCACCCCCGAGGCTGCTGTGGGGCTGGGGGCCCCCACTTGCCCATTGCTGATGGGGTGGGGGAGCTCCTGGAGACGGCCCTGGGGTCATCTGCTTGCCGCGGCTCTTGGCATGCGGCTTGAGCAATCCTGGGGTCTGGGTTGACCATCTTGGAGGTGCTGGAGCTCCTCTTCACCCTTAAGAGGGAGTTTTAAACCCCTTTTGATGGAGATTTTGCAGAGGACCAGGAAAGCCCTATACAATGGGCTATGCCAGACCATACCAGAAGGTCTTAAAAGCAACCTCCCTCCTTGCTCCAGGGAGTAACTCCCTCCAACCTGCTCTGTCTTCCGTAGGCACGGTGCTGGTGATGGTCTACTTCATCCTCCTGGCTGTGTATTTCTTTGCCCCATCGCCCAGTGGTTGCTGAGGTTTGGACTCTGCTTTCTCCAACCTTTTCATTGGGTTCAGCGCCTGTCAAGGCGTTATCCGGTGTCTCAGGGACTCGGCCGGGCTGGCTCTGGTCTGGAAGCATCATTTGATGAAGCTGCTGCTGCTTGGCTCTCCCGGCGGGGTGCCAAAGGGGCTTCAGTGACGGGAAGGGTGGTGGCAATAGAAGCACTCCCGAACCAAGAGGGAGCCTCAACGCCAGAGCACTTCACAGAGGTATTTCCAGCCCACGCATGCGTGGCTGGGAGGAAAACTGTCCCTAGTTGGAGGGTCTTGAAGGGTGTTTTTGTGTGGTCTCAAGGACAGACCCCTCTCTTGGGACATGCTGCACTGGGAGAAGGTGCCTGAGAAGAGCCTTTCTCCCCTCCAGGCAGTGGGTGACCTCAGGCCTGGAAAGGACTGAGGCCTGGGGATCACAAAGGGTTTATTGATGGTACTAGAAATGCACCAAAAAGTATTTTTCAGCTGGTTTTGTCATTAAAGCAGTTTTGTACAAATCAGAAACAAGCCTGTTTCTCCTTAAAAGAGCCTTTGGTCACCTGTCCGGGTCCCTTCGTGTCCACCACCCAGGTTAGTGATGGTCCTGGGGTGAAGGCCACTTGGTGCTTGCGCCGGGGTGGGCGCTGAGCACCAGCGATGGCTCGGTTGGAGCCACCCTGGGAGCGGAGCAGGACAGCACTTGATGTCCTCTGTCACAGCACCAGAGCAGGTGGCAGGGGAGATCCACCACCAGGCCCCGGGGACAGAGCCAGCAGCGGGGTGGCTGTGGGCTCCAGCTTTCTCCGTGAGCCTCTCTAAGCTCCAGCTCTTGTTTCCAGCCTGATCTTGTCTGACTCTCCTGGGTCAACCTCGCTCAGAGGCCTTTACCAGGCTCCCGAGGAGGAGGGTCAAGGATGCTCCGGGTGCTGCTCACGGGGTACGAGGTGTGACGTGTCAGAGACCGGTGCATCTCCCTCTGCGAAGGGAAACACCAGCGGGTGAGGTTAGAGGACAAAGCAGATGGCTTGGACTGATTTATTTATCAGAGCTTTTTTAAAAAAAAAAAAAAAAAAGCCAACCCAACACACACACACCACACCCCCGCCAAAACAACCCGAAAGCAAAACACTGACAGATACATAGATACAGGCAATGCAGCTCCTGTGCCCCTTCTCACTCCCCAGCCCCCTGGGGAGCATAAAAACCAGGGAGGAGAGCGCTGCTTGCTGCCTACAACGTGAACGTTGGACTCTGAAAGGTCCCACAGTCAGTGGAGAGACTTCAAACAACCCAGAGTAAGGCAGGCAGAGGGCAGCAACCTGGGATTCCCCTCCTTCCCAAAGGAGGGCAGCTGCTTGTTAGCAATTAATGATGCTGCTTTATCGAGCTGCTTTTGTTTTCCTAGTATCAGTCTGGACAATCCTGCTGTTGTTAATACAGATGTTTGGGAAGATTCCTGGGTGAGTACCTAGAGTTGGCTGCTGGCTGCAGAGGGGCTTGACGGCCCAGGGCAGCAAGAGATGGGAAAGGCGTGGGATGGGAGGGTGGAAGATGATGGCACCAAGCAGGTTCTCCTACATCTCGCCTGAGGCTAACCAGAAAACATCTACCCTGGGGTGAGGGATGCTTGTGACTTCTCTTGGAGCCAGATCCAGCTTCTGTGTTTAGGAAGGTGGGGTAGGGCCAGCATTCCCTTCCCCAGTGTCCTGCTCTGCAGCAGGACAAGCCCAGCAGTAGCTGCTGGTGGCTATAAAGGTGCCCCGAAGAGGTCCCGCGTCACCCGGAGCTGCTCTGCTCGGTGCTGGGAGCAGGGGTAAGTCGTGGGGTGAAGGCAGCAGGGCTGTCCCACCAAAGCCTGTCCTGAGCTGGCTTTCTTGGTGCGTCCTGTCCCCATCCCGGGCAGCATCGCGGATGTTCTCCCTCCATCAGCTGCCACAGATGCTGAATCCTTTCCTTCTCCTTCAGGGGAAATCCGTGGCCTTGTCCTCGCAGAAGCAGTTAACACTCTGCTCTTTTGCTTTCCCATATGGAATTGCACAGAGGGAATTAACTTGCCCTTAAAAGGAAGGAATCGGTACTTGGGCATCACCTGGGCTGGAGATGAAGACAAGCAGATTGAGCCAGAAAAGCCTGGAGCCACATATCCTTCAAGCTGCACCCCAGAGTGAAGCCTCTGCCACCATAAGTCAGTGAGGAGCTTTTATCGCTCAAAAATTTAAGGTGCAGTAGACAAGCTGCAACTCAAGCAAATCCTCAAAAGGGAGCTGTGAGCTTTGCAGTGCTTAAAAGAAGTCATCTTTTAGGAAGAGCGGCCTCCAAGATCTTGTGCCCATCGTGCTGCAGCCCCCGCAGGTAACAGGGAGGGGAGAAGCCCCTGGACTTGTATCTGACTTTTATCAGCAAAACCAAGTCCCTGATTTTTTTTTTTTTTTTTTCTCTGTAGCTCTTGGCTGTGCTTCTCGAAGTCCTGTGTGCTGGGGATACAGCGTGGCTGGGTTGGAGGGGTGACATCAGCTCCAGGCCGTGGGTGGAGGGCACACGCAGGCTCTGGGTTTGCACCCTCAGTGGTCTGGGCAGTGGAAGAAGCTTGGGCACTTGTGTTTGGGTGACCCAGCAGCACACTGGTGTGTCACAGGGATGTCAAGGACTGTATTGTCTTGCCTGGGTACACGTTCCACATCAAGATTGGAAGCTCAGATGAAGGGACAGTGTTGCAGGTGTTAGTATGGAGCTGGGCTGAGGCCAGATGTGCCCCAGATCAACACCCAGCACCTTTCCCCTTCCCTGTGCTCACAGCAGGGCGAAAGCTCCCCGCTGCCCCCGCTGCCCCTGCTGGAGCAGGGATGGCATTAGAGCTTAAGGAATTTGCTTGATCAGAGATCCAGGCTTGGGTGGCTTTCATAGTGGCTCGGTGATGATGGGAGATGCTCTTTAAAGTAGGTAAGGGAGGAACCAACCCACGTACGACCAGGCTCTTCCAGTACAAAAGTCCTAGCAGAACTGGAGGCCGGAGGGCAAAGAGGTGAGAGCTGTGCAAGAGGTGAGAGCTACTGAGTTCAGGCTAGGAGAGAGAGCTGAAGAAAAGCCCAGCTCCCCTTGACCCACCATGGCCTGGGGAAGAGGACACCCCCCAGAAGAGCAGGTCTGGGTTCAGCTCCTGAGCGAGGAGCAGCAGGATGCTGCAGCAAGCAGCCAGGGAGCTGGGGAAGAAGTTGAAATTGGATGATAATGCCCTCCAGGAGCAAAGGTTTTCTGCCCATCCCCAGACTCTTAGCTAGAAGTCGGCCCCAACACAGAGCACTGGGGACTGAGAAAGCTGCGCAGCACACGGGACGGCCCCACAGCTTTGCCCTGTGAGCTGCGCGTCCTGCGAAGGTAGAGTGAAGGGGGTAGATGCCACCGAGCTACAAGCAGCTGCCACCAGTTTCTGTGGTCCAAAGCACCAGAGGAGGCTTCAGTTATGATGTACAACCTCTTATTTTGGTGGGTCTTGGGAAAAAAAAAAAAAAAAAAAGCAGCAACTGAGTCTCTGTAAGGGGGGGAAAAAGCTAGCCTCAAGAATATGGGAAGCTTAACATTGGGGCAAGTGTGAACACTTCAATTGAACATCAAGGGTGGGTGGTCCTTAAGAGGTGCAGCAGTGACTCAGCCAGCCACTGCTGTTCAGATTAACAACATGAAGACAATGCTATGGTTTATTTAAACATAAATGCAATCTCTTAAAAAGAAATTAAAACCCCAGAGTCAAACTCTGGCCTTTGATGATGGAAGGGAAAGGTACCAGGAAAAGCTGATGTTAAAAACAAAAACAAAAAAAACAACCAAACAAAAGGGCACTTAAAAATGGTCTTCAGATGAAAAGGACTTTGCACAAACCTGATGCTAGGCAAGTGGAGCTGCTCAGAGTTTGATGGCCACTTACGCAAGGTCTCTAGAGTGAATTTCACAGTATATGAAGCACAGCAAGAGATAGACATCCCTTCCACTCCTGCCTGTGCAGAGACGACCACTGCTCACAGCAAGAGGGAGAGATGTTCCCTTTCCCCTTTTTTGGATGCTGTGATCCATGAGTTTCCAAGGATCCCCATTAAAACCACATGCAGCAATGAACACCCAGAGGAACATGAAGCTAACTAGAAAAGGGCCACTGTGTGATGTGTGGGAGGAAGGAAAACAAAAAGCTTACAGGTACATGTTAGAGTCGGATGCTGATAACCAGGACTTGAGCTGGCAGGGGTGGCTCACACCCAAGCACTGGGTACAACATGCTGCAGGTTAAGACAGCTCTGAAATCTACGGGGTGAGTTTTTGCTGTTAGCTTGTTCAGAGTCTAATGCGAGCAGAAAGGGTTAAAAAAAAAGACTCAGCAAAACCTCTTCCCCTCCCCTCACCACCCCAAGTAAACTACACAGTAGTCCGTTAAGTGGCAACGTTTAACCAGTCTTCCAAGCAAACCTTTCAATATGAAAAGGTGAGGAACACAGACACGGGGTGTTTTAAATCACCGCACACTGCACCGGAAAAGCTGCACAGGCCAAGGTTCGCTCGCTGCCCCGTGCGACGTTCCAGCCGTCTTCCGAAGCTCAAAGAGATGGGAGCATGCCCCTGAAACACATGCAAAGCCTTCAAGTGGAAGGAGTTCTTGGGTTTTATAGAGGGATAGCTCTGCTGGGTGTTGGGGAGGGGGGGATGAGTGTTATCCAAAGCAAAAGAACGGGGCGGCTGTTGTTCTGCCTTGAACATCCTCCGTTAGATACAGCTTGTGAAAATACTACGTCGAGTGCACCACGTGTAAGCATGGGCTCAGACATTTGCAAAGCTCCCCACCCTCCCCCATTAAATCGCGAGCATGTGCTGATGGCTGGATGTTATGGATTAGTCCCAGAGAGTATTTTTGATTAATGGTGTAATTTAGAGATCCATAAATAAAAAGTGGATTTTCAACAACTTAAAAATTTCTAGAAAGGCATCGATGTATTTGCTGAATAAGGCGTTGAGCAGGTTCCTCCATGTTCTTAGCAAGACCATCCACAGTATCCATAAATAGGGGGGGCTGGAGGGGGCTTCTTGGACGTAGTGTGTCTTGGACAGAAGCACGAGACGTTCTCATTTTAGTCGCTCAACGAGTCCCTGCGTCAGTCCAAGGTGCAAAAGCTGAGATCTGGAGAGAGTTGCTAGATGAGGGAAATATTCCAGAAGCTTCTCCCACGACAGTTCCAGCAGGCTGGGTACCACCAGCCACATTTTAAACAGAGAGCCAGTCCGTTTGTTTTCATGGATGTTGACCACCCCTCCGTGAACATACATGCAGCCAGCCTAGATGGGAAAAGGGGGAGAGGGGAGTTACAGGGGGCACAGACCAAACTGGCACACCAGAAGGTGCTGAGGAGAACCAGGAGTTGACTCTCCAGATTCCCAGCTGGTTGATCACAGAGTGAGGTTCATCTCACACACCTTTATGTGCTGGTAACAGAAGTGTCACTGCCTGAGCCAGTCCTCCCGGGCTCCTCTCGTATCCAAGGGGAGGAATCACTGCTGAAGGGCACATGTGTCTCATCCTAAAGTACATACCTGCTAGCCTAGAGTGCTTTGCTCTGTATTTGAGGTGAATTTTACCCCAATAAATCAACTTTAGCAGTGGGGCAAAGTGGTACTAAATTAGTATAGAACCATACAGTCTTTTCACCTGAAACCTAAGTATTTTTTTTAAACTAAACCCACACCATACAAAGACATGCTGCCTTCCCTCTGCTGGCTCAGCATTCCTGCTCCAGGAATCACACGAGTGCAGAGACGGGAAAAGCTCAGCTGCTGACTTATTCTGAGTGGCAATTTTTTTCAATATTCATGAAAAGAAAGGCCATTTCTGCTATCCAGGCACCCACCTGCAGTCACCGAGCTGCCTGGGAAAGATCCTTATCAGGCCTATTGTTTCCCACAGAGAGTTGCATTGATATCCATCTCCAAACTAGGGGAAACCTGCTCTTTTAACCAAAGAACCCCAATATCTGCCCTTGCATGCTGCCCGAAGGCGATGATCAGCTGAAGGAGGCCGAAGTCACAGCTAAATGCATTTCTTGCTGCTTGCTGCTTACCAACCACAGGTCTCCAAGCTTCTGGTTACGGCAAAAAGCTCTAGCAATACCAACTTTCCCATTAATGGTGGTTTCCAAAGAGGGCTGCCCACCTGCTAATCTTTCAACCCAAGCTGTTCTTAGTAGACTAAAATCAGTTTACCTGGGAGGGTATTTGTGCTTTTCTTCCTTTTGCAAACAGGAATTGCTGTTCATGTGTGGAATTACTCCTAGGAGCTGATGTAATTTAAAAGCTAAAATCCTGCATCGCTGCTTTTAGAAAGCAGAACATACTGAGTGCTAGCGCTCCTCAAACAGCAGCAGGAGTAAAAGGAGTCAATGCAGTGACCTCTCACTGACCCTCAGGCTCCCTATAGATGCTGCATCCAGTGGAGATCACCTCCTTGGTAACATCGGTTCAGCTCTGTTTGCAGCCCACACAAACATCAGAGTGCTTGGACAAACGGCTTGGACTTCAGCTACAAAGGAAAGAAATGAGTCACTTACTGGTGTGACAGCAGCACAGTGAAAATACACTGGTTCTGGCATAGCAGCTGGGAGCTTGACCCACTGGAAAGTCTGCAGATTCAGCTTCCAAACATCTCCCAGAATCACTTCTCCATTATAACCTCCACAAACGAACACATCTGTAAGAGAGGAAACCCACAGTGCTTAAAGGCCCAGCCATCCTTCATCCAGCAATTGCAGAATACGCAGTGACTGAAGTCGGCGATCACTTTTCCAAACCAGTTTTAGGATAACAGTTATTCTGTTCAACACAAGCTCTCAGTAGCTCCCAAATCAGTCCCAGAACACTGTTCATAATCACAGAGGCCACTTACAGAATCACAGGATGGTTTGGGTTGGAAGGGACCTTAAAGCCCCCCCAGTGCCCCCCCTGCCCCGGGCAGGGCCCCCTTCCCCCAGCCCAGGGGGCTCCCAGCCCTGTCCAACCTGGCCTTGAACCCTTCCAGGGAGGGGGCAGCCACAGCTGCTCTGGGCACCCTGGGCCAGCGCCTCACCCCCCGCACAGGGAACAATTTCTGCCTTAGATCTCATCTAAATCTGCCCTCTGGCAGTTTAAACCCATCACCCCTCGTCCTACCCCCACCCCCTGATCCAGAGTCCCCCTCCACCTCTCCTGTCCCCCCTTTAAGCCCTGGGAGGCCGCTCGAGGGTCTCCCCGGAGCCTTCTCTTCTCCAGGCTGAACCCCCCCAACTCTCTCAGCCCGGCCCCCCAGGGGAGCTGCTCCAGCCCCCCCAGCATCTCCGTGGCCTCCTCTGGCCCTGCTCGAGCAGCTCCGGGTCCTTCTGCTGTTGGGGGCCCCCGAGCTGGCCCCAGCACTGCAGGGGGGTCTCCCCAGAGCAGAGCAGAGGGGGAGAATCCCCTCCCTGGCCCTGCTGCCCCCCCTGCTCTGGCTGCAGCCCAGGGCACGGGTGGGTTCTGGGCTGCAAGCGCACGGGGCTGGCTCATGTCCATTTCTCAGCCAGGAGTGCACTCTGCTTTTAGGAGCTGCGTTATGCCCTAGCTAACCTCAGTTCAGAGGCACCTGGTTTTGATCAGATTCTAGGGGTTTTCAACCTACAGGGAGCAGCCACAGCCTTAGTCCTGCTGCCTGCCAGAGGTAGGTCCTTGCCCTGGCTTTGCCCAGGTTCTCAACACAGAGGCTTGCACTGCAGCTGAATGCTGATGAAGGTGACTGGAAGCATCTCCCAGCTCCTGCCTCGCTTTTAATGGCACAATTAGCGCTCCTAAGAAATATAATCTGGCGTATCACTCTCCTGCATGGCTCAGCACCCTCTAATGTACAGCATTCAGTAACTGACCTGAAAAGTTTTGAAAAGATGAATCAATATTGTAACTGCTTCTTCTGTTCATTATGAGCAATTTGGTTTTTATCAAGTTTGCGGGGAAATGCCTTCTTGGAGGACAAAAAGGCTACAGAAGAGGCCCAAACCTAGTTGAAGGAACCCTCTACCATTCAAAACTGTGGGTAATTGAACACGGATGGCACATGCAGAGCCCCCTCAAGGCTGTGCTTCAAATAGTGCCGTGCGAGTGACTGACAGCAAAAACATTTGGAGGATCCAAGTGAAGAACAAAAGGCTCTACTAAATTCTGTGCAGCTCCTAACATATAAAATGGCCCACCCCTCTACTGGGGAACAGAAAGACTCAGGTGCTAACTCTGCTACTGACTCATAATCCACTCCGTATGAGCGTCTTGGATTTACACCACCACAAAAAGGACCCGCTATCAAAGAAATCCCTGAACAATCTTGTCTATAAAGAACTTGGCTTCCAGCACTTGGCCCCACTTGCTTTTCACAGCAGACTGTAAAGCTAACAGGTTTGTCACCGAGCTGTAGAAGGAGCTATACCTGTTCGTGAGCTTGCAACCGATGAGTTGCAAAGTATTGTGGACACTCGTGGCTAAAATACATGATATCTTACATTGATGTGGCCACACGTCCAAAAGGGATTTGCTTAAAATACTGCAGAATTCCAGATAGCAACAGTACTGCGCGGTGCAGGACTAAATTTGCCTACAGCAGCAAGATCCCTCATATGAAGAGTGGTGCCAATGGGGCAGCTTAAGGTCTGCTGACAAGAAAGAAATCCTCTTCCATAAAAGACACGTGTGCCCTGCAGTTCTCTCAAACATCTGCTGGAGGCCAGTGTCTCTCAGGCTAGAAGGATGGACTTGTCACTGCTAGGTTGTGTAAGATACACCAGTTTTCCAGAGGCAGATCTTACCATTTTTGATCTGAACGCAGCTGTGGCATCTTCTGGCTGCTGGGAAGCCTGAGGAGAGTTAAAAAAAAAAAAAAAAAAAAAAAAAAAAAAAAGTATCAACCATAGTTGCTTTAAAGTGCTTGGGCAAGTGGTGGTTATATCTCAACACATAATCATGGATAGGAATCACTTCTTTAATTTATAAAGGGGCTTCTGCTTTCCTACAATCACAGGTATAAGGTCTCTAATTTAGTAACCAGCTGTTTCAGGTTTGACTCTTAATCGCTCTCCAGGGAAGGAAGAAAAGTGCCAGAATCTCATTCCCTACAGACCCCAGCTCTCACCTCTGGTGTGGTGAAAAGCAGCAGCTAAGGGCCAGCAGGGTTTCAGGGAAACCCTTGCTGCTAACCAGGCCAGCACGTGGTCCCTCAGAGGCAGGAAAGATGATGTGTATCTTCTTCTGGGAGGACAGCCAGCCACTATCATCTTTCCCACCCAGGGAGGGAGAGAAGCCAGCCTGGTAAATATGCTTCAGATGGGTTAGTCCTCACTGCTAAAGCTCCAAACAAGCAGGACCTCGCAGCCAGCGTTGAGTCACAAACTCTACAAGGTTACGAAAAAGGCTTTCAGCCTGCCAGCAAACAGCATCTTCAAGCATCTTGGCCGCTCTCTGGTTTACAGGGGAAGACAGATGAAACTTCAGACTCACCAACTTTTTCATGAGGTTTTGTGGCAATTTCCTCCCAGGTGTTGGTTTCAAGGTTGTACGCATGGATCTGAAGGGACAAAGAGGAGACATTAGTTCCTCCTGGCTCTCCCAGCACTACGATGACGCAGTTTCAGCCTCTGACCCAGGGAGCCACTATAAATAACACCTCTTTTTCATTAAATATAAAAACAAAAATAGCTAATCGCAGCCAGTGACTAAGCAGGTATAAAATCACCTTCAAGGCATACCAGCTTAAGCTTTCATCTCAGGCTTTGCTATTCAAGCCCCACAGCTAAAGAAAAAGAATATTGCTTTTAAAAAACCTGGACCAATTAAAACCCACACCCTCCGGTTCTCAAAAGTATCTCGAAATACCTAAACTCACACTGCACATAAGGAGAAAAGAAATGCAGAGACTGGAGAGATAAAAAGTCATGTTAACTGCTGCGGTTTCAACTTTTTTGGAAGCAGAGCCCTATTTAAAGTCTCCCCATTTATCATTTCGGCATTCAAGATTAATTCACTCTTCCCTCCCCAAACTGCATGGGAGAAAAACGTTTACCACAAGAAAGGAAATTAAAGTGTATGATTAAGGGAGAAGACAAGAAAAGAGTCACCATCTCAATATCTGAATTTAACGTCAAGGAATTCCTTCCTTTGGCACTTCCCTCTTTTGGCACAAATACCACATTTAGAAAGATGTCCTAAGTGGTTTTAAATGAGAATCTCTGACAACAGGTTTACAGAAATGAAGCTGTATTGCAGATGGGCCTGGTCACTGGGTACCACAGATTCATCATCTGTAAGCCAACAGGACATGTTTGTGGCAACACCAGATTTTACAGAAATAGGGGAACAATTCGCTCCTAGTTATCTATTTTTTTACCAAGCTCTTCAGGCAAAGCCAGATGAAGAGACCATGCTGGTTATACTTCACTGTTGAAAATCTCCTATTCAGGCAAGCACTCAAGGTTTGTGATTGCCTTACCTTATCTAAGGAATAAGCTGTCCAGGAAGTTCCACCTCCCAAGATATAAATCCGCTGACCATCATGTGCGATTTCATGTCTGTACCTGAAGGTGCAAAGAAGGACATTTAGCAGCACAAGCAATTAGTGCAAATGAGCAACAACAAAAGCCTTCTGGAAAACACTATCAAATCTGAATGGTTTAAGCAGACACCCCAAACCTGGCTATGCTGTATCAGTCCCTCGGGTTGGGAGCATTCAGAAGATGTGGAAGCTTTCATGAGCAAACTAAGCAGCATCCCAGAAGCTTGAAAGGCATTTTCTGAGAGCAGAGCACCACGGAACTTAAGTCCAATGATTTAAGGAGCACCACGATGGCCACCAATATTCCAGCCCCTTCTCTCACTAAGATGGTCACTGAGCTCCCAGCCCTCCACGCCTTGCTACAGAATAGGACAAGGGACAGGCATCAGCTGAAGTCTCTTCCCCTCCTCAGCACTCTGCAGCTGCCCCAAGTCCCTGTTCTGGCACCACACAGTCCGGGATCAGTGTCCTGGCAAAGGCTTCACATCCCATCCCTACACCCCTCTGCACGCCAGGCTGCTGGAGCATGAGTTGTGCAAGGTTCACATCTGGAAACACTGCTCTCAGAGTGCCCTGCCTGCGCTCTCTCAGCTTCTCGCTCCCAGTAAAAGTGGTGACTCCCCAGTGCAAAAGCTCTCTGAGGCTGTCCAGCTTCTCACCTCTCCTCTGGCATGTCACAGGACATATTGTTTGGTTTCAGCTGGGTCCACTCTCTAGTGTTGAGGTCTAGCTTGTGTAGGTCAGTACTGTAAATGTAACCAGTTGTTCCTCCAAACACGTAGAGACAACCATTGATGATGGCCATGGCCTGGAATATAACAGAGAAAAACCAGTTAGATAGGATGTGTGACATCAGTGTCTGAAGAAAGAATTCGTGCCCTCCCAAAGCAAGACACTGCTTGCAAAGCTCTACCTACAACTTACAAAATGACTTGTTTGGGAGGAATCTGAAGGTAAAACAAGGATGATATGCAAAAGATGGCGGGGGGGTTGTCTGTAGGAATGGAAAGTAACTCCACAGTCACAAGATGAGGACCTAAAAGTGGAGCTGCAGAGTTTCAGGCATCAGACAAGACGGATCTGTGCAGCAGGGGCTCCCCGGAGCTACAACCGAAGCACAGTTAACCCTGAATCTCTTCCACGCTGACCTTATACAGATACTGTTACAGAGAATCTTATAAACCAGCTATCAGATAGCCAGTGGGATTAAGCGTAACGGAGAAAGCCCCAGACACAGAGGATAAGCCAGACTAAACAACAGCCTGCACAAATCAAAAGCACTTGGACTATCAGCCTGCTGAAACTGCGAAGGTGGTGCAGGCAGGCACTCCAAGGTGGAAGCAGAGGTGTAGCTCCTTCTGCTCCTGACTGCCTGTTTGCCAAAGGCCAGCTCGAGCTGAAGTGGGCAAGGGGAAGACTACCTGCCTTCCCCCCAAGTGTCCGGCGCACATCTAAATGAGAAATGAGTTGGGTTATAAATGTCTGCGCCACAAGTACATCGGCAATATTACTGGAAAGCACAGCAAAAGCTGGAAGTCCTCCTGTGAGAGTGAATCTAGGTTTTTTGTGCATCATGTTCATCCAGGAAATTATGGACATCTTTAGAAGTTGTTATTTGAATACAAACAAGACCTACTAAACAGTGGTTTAATTTATAGTTGGGGTTTTAAAGGCTCTGAGGAGGCTAGAGAGCAGCTCCAGAAACTACCAACCATCCTTTGAAGCAGACATACTTTTTCATTCAACCGCATCTGGCATTTAGTTGGCTTTTCTAACTACAAGAAAACTCTTCCTTTCCTTTGAAATCTCAAAGAACCAAGACCGCTCTGTTTCTTTATGAGTGATACCTGCCTTTTCTTACACTTATGTACACAGAGAACAGCTCTGCTTAGCAGCAGAGGTCTCTGCACCCTGGCCCCCTTTCTGCTGCACAGCGCAGCGTACGCAGGCACACTGGGAGTCCCTCAACAAGGGCTGTCCTTTGTACCTGGCCATAAATTCGATTGGGTTTCTTTCCTCGGCAGCTGAGCAGAGCCCATCGTTTGTACTTGACGTTGCAGACGTGGACGTCGTTGCCATTGCTCTCCCCAAAGGGGATCCCGGTGCCCCCGAACACAAGCAGGTTGTTGCCGTGCAATACAACTAGGAGAGAGAGACAGAGCAGAGACACTTGTTGCTGCGAGAGGCGGTAAACCAGAGGGACTCTGCTCTGGAGACAGTAGGCAGAGAGCGTTCAATATTGTTCAATTCACACTATGCATTTATGGCTTTGAAATACTCTAAAAGAGAAAGAATGCAAACTAAAACCATGGTAACCAAAGGCCTACTTTTAAAAATGGCTAGTGAACAAAGAGATCTATTTTTGGATGCTTTGAGATGTCTGATTGCACTGAGCACCTAGCTGCTGAAAGTGTAGGTGCCTTGCAAGTATCAACCTAAATACCTGAAGATTACCTCTTGCATTCGAAATTTTTTCTTTCTCTCTGCCTCAATCCAAGCAAAAGGAGAAAGGAAAAAAAAAAAAAAAAAAATCACAAAACCAACCCAAATCCAAGGCCTACTTGCAGAAGAGTTGGAAACAGGATCCAGATTTCCCAGTTCTTGCCTGGTTTTGCATTCCACCAGGGACACTGATTAAAATAGCTTCAGGAGTAGGCACACAGGAATTGAATTTCCATACGTACGTGACATGGAGGCTAATTCCCTGGGCATGTAGCCTTCAGTGCCCATTTGATGCCAGGTGTCCGTAGCAAAGTTGTATCGCCAGAGTTCCCTGAAGAGCGGGTAATCTTCATTCTCTGGCCCACCGGACTCATCGTAGTCAGGATTGTAGCCTCCAAACACGTACAAGTTGGCATTATCTGCCACGCAACGATGGCCACTTCTTGCTGGTGGAGATCTGTGGCCTGCAGCAAAATGAGAGGGTGAAACAGCTTCAGTGAAATGTCAGCAGAGGAGCTGAGCTTGTGTCCGAGGCCCGCTGCGGTGACCCTCCAACAAAAGCTGTGTTTAGCCACAGGGAAGCGTATCTGCAGCCAGGAGGAAGCAGCTCTGTAATGACAGATCCGCCCCTCCGAGCAGGAACGGGGAATGCCTCTGTGTGTCACCATCTCAGTCATGTCCACAATAGCCCCTGGACCACACCTGGCTAAGGATACCTGTCTGTAGGTCAACACATGACAATCCTTCCACGTGCCAATCCTTCCGTAAAAGCTATTTCTGAGGTATCTTACAGATCCCTCCTTCTGTCATTCTGTATGGCAGATTTTACTTAGAAAACAGTTCCAAAATGTTTATATTTAAAGCTGCCTGACGGGAACAAAGAAGAAAAGTAATGATATGCTCTCCCTCCTACACAAACCTTCTCTCTTGTTTCTTCCCTTTCGCTCCTGGCACCTTATATTTCAAGAAGGCTCTTTCACCTTGCACACCCCTGGGCTTCCTGAACTTTAAGCAAGGCAGGTCTGATACAGCAAGTAAAAGTCTGCTCATAGATAAAGGCATTTGCACTGGGAGGGGGCACAGCAGGGAGCCCATCTGAGATCTGACAGGTTGAGCTTGTCAACTGGCAGACACAGCCCCTCCTAAAATGAAGTCCTCTGCCCACCCACCCTCTTCCCTAAAAACCAATGGAAATAAAAGCGGGGAGGACAATTCAAGCTCAGACCTCAACTGGAATAGACAAAAAGAGCCATTCATTCCAGGAAAATCTAAACAGCAATATTCTTGTCGGACAACAGCAATTGAAGCCTCAGCTGACAAGTGATCAAAAAGTAATTTTGAGCTTGCTGGAATTCGACGCACAGCAAGAGCTGAGCAGAGTGCCAGAAGTGGATGTTTTTCTTCAGCGAGACACAGGACCATGTAACGGATGAGAAAGATGAAAGGAATAGAAAACGATCAGGTCCCTGAACAAAGGAGCTGGTTGTGAGACACACGTAGAACATCGCAAACCGACTGAACCAGAAAGGCTTCAAAAATAATTTTTTCTATGCAATACAACAGTGTTTTGCTGAGAGTAACTCAAAGCTTCATCTTGAGAATACATAATAGTCCCCTAAAATGTACCATTGCAATGCGTAACCATCGCACCCTCAAGAACATCCCCTGCTTGTTGTACCTTGAGACAGGCCTGCTTTGGTTCAGTTGACAATAAAGAGCAAACCTAAAAACCATCAAAAGAAGATCCCAAAGACTCCTCACCCAAACAAACCAGTGATCTTCACCACCCACCTGCTCTCACAGCTCGTTTACGGACTTTAAGGATGGAACAGGACCCAGTGAATCATCTAATTAGAACCTATCCTGTTTTCTTCTTAGAGCCTGTTAGAATTATCAGCAGTGAATCAGACACGTGGAGCAATAACAAATGAGGCATCCAGAATCTTTCCTACAGGAAAGGTGAAATAAATGATTTGTCCAGACTGAATAATGAATTTTAACTCAGCACAAGCAGCTTTGCTTAATCATGTTCCCCATTTGCTGCTGCTTTAAGCTCCAACTCTTGTCCAAACTAAGCTGCGCTACAGGGTTTCAGACAAACTCCTTGTGGCTAAGTTTTGACAGATTTGGGTTATTTCCAGTAATAATTGTGTCTCGCAGCAATCCTCACCTAGAAAACTAATAAGCACTGGCTGAAAGAGAGGGGCAGAAAGTTAAGGAATTAAGGGAAAAACCTGTAGTCTTCGGCCTGGCTGCTGAGACAGCGCAGTGGTATCAGGCACCCGGCGTGGCGTGGACATCAGCACACCGGAGGGGTGGATATTACATGTCCTAACAGGGGCAGCCAGGAAGCTACTGCCCTCAGTGCTGGACTGAACTGTTAGACAAATATTACATGCTTTAGAGATGATTCACAAAGGGAAGGAGAAACATCCGCCCCTTTGGGCTTTTTTTATTTTAAACTCTGAAACTATCCAAAGAGATGGATTCATTTTTAAGTGAACGCATTGACAATAGAGGTATTTGCAATCAAGGTAATCGTTCAGACTCATAAAATCGGAGATGCTTTGAGAGGGCAATTCATGTGAGCTTGAATGTCTGCAAACAAAACTGTGCTTGAGAAGTGCCCACGCCTCTCTGCAGCCTACAGAGGATGTCCTAGCGAAGGGCTCACGTGTCCGTGCTCAGCCAAGGGGAGCTGCTTGTTTCTTCTTCTGTGTTTGCCCTGAAAGTCTCCAAAAAGACGACCTGAAAGAACTGAAGCGGGAGCTTAATTCCAGTGAAGACTGGGAGCGCTGATGCACACATTTTGCAGGGGAGTGAGGATTTAATTCAGTCACCCATTGAATTTAAAAGGTGCTAGGGAATTAGGAGTTCAAATATTACATTAACTATAGAACCCATTTCCCTCTAGATATAACACTTGTCATGAGAACTTTCCAGAGGGAAGAGAGCAGAGTAAGGCTGAGTTTTATATAAAGCCAACAGACTAAGGAATAAAAGGCATGATTCAAAGAAAACAAATTAAAAAACAAAACCAAGGAGACCCTCTCTGCCATTCACCTCTCAAAATTAAGAAGGGAAGACACCTGACTTTGCCATAAAGCCCCAGAACAGGAAAGGGATCGATATTTGATGCATGCAGGTCCTCGAGATAGCAAGATGGGCACCTGAAGCCTATACACAGCCCTGCTGGTTTCATCTCTTCCCATTTACCTAGAAACCCATCTCCTATCTTTAAAAGACAATTTTTTCAAGATATTTTTAAGACACAGAAAGGGCATCACAAGCCAGAGCTGGTGTCAAACAGGTATTTGCAAGTACCCAACCGAGATGGTCTAAAAGGACCCCTGTTCCCATGCAGCCGTTCCTGCTGCAAACCACACCTGCCGTTAGTTCCCTGCCCCTTCCCACCACCAATTCCAAGGGCTCTGTGAACCACAGGAACACATTTTTCAATTAAACCCTCACTCAGTAACTGGCCTTTGTCAGAAGCTAGAGATCCTCATGGCAGAGCTAGCAGGAGAAATGATGCCTGTCCCTGGTCATGCATTCACAGCCTGGCTGCTCGGGGGAAATCCACTGTCCTCAGCATTAAGTTGAACACCAAAATGTGGATGGGAGTGGCTGAAATGCTTCCTCCTCCCGTGCCTGCTACAGGGTGTTTCAGTCCCAGGGAAAGGGGGACTGAAACACCAACCACAGCAACACTTGCAAAAGCTTAGGGCCAACCCCTGTAGCTACTAACACAAGCAATTGCATTTTGCTGTGCTCAAGAGTAACACATTTTCTGCACTATTCAAGCAGACCCCAGCTGCGTTTGCCCAATACCGTGCTCCATGTGTAAGGACTGACTTTTCTCCAAAGGCTTCACATTTCCAACCTGCTGTTTTTAAGCTTCACGCTCCACTAACCCCTTTGTTTCAACGGACCAGATCCTCCTGCTCACAGAGGCCCAGAGAAGATGACGTATCTACTCATATAACTGGAAAAAAAAATATCCAACACATCTTCTGAGTCAACTATGCAAGCACACTCGCAAATGTGTCAATGAACTGAACAATGTTTCACTGAGTTAAATTGTCACCAAACTCTTCTGTTCAGAATTAAGTGACCTTAATTCACTTTAGAAGAAAGTCTTAGAAAAAGATTCCTCTAGTTACATCTTTTTAAAGAAGAGACCTGTAAAAGCTGAATCTATTTAAGAGTTAATTCAGATTAGTTTCTTCAGCAGACAAACTCTATGACTTGTACCTCCAACAAAGAGCTACATTTCCATTTAATTATATTTTACCAGATGATTCACATCTACTGAAATTCTTCTTGCAAGTTTTTGATCTGTTTTTGCTCCAGTGTTAGCGGTGCACAACGAGCCTATTGCACAAGTGCAAGCTTTAGACAGTGAAGGAAGACGGAAACACCCAAGGGTTTGCTAACTTCCTCCTCTAGTTAGCAAAGCCCATCTCCCCAAGAGCTGAACCTGCCACAGCTTAAAGAAGCGCCCAACACCAAGCGAAGCATGGCAAGGCACCATCACCGTGAAGAGCTGCAAGTTGCCAGGTCCTGCTACAAATTCTTAGAAGTTGGACAGGGAAAGTAACAGCACAATGTACCGAGTCAAGACAGATATGTGGGAAAGAGGTCATAAAGCTAGTTATAGAAAATGGCTTTAAAGTGGACGGATATAATTTGGAAAGCACTTGCTTTCCCAGTTTAAGACTCCAAAGTGAAGAAGGAAGGATGGGAAGGTGCATTCACAAGGAGACTCCTTTTCCTCGGTCCTAAGGGCAGAAACAGAAACAATAAAACTTTCAGAGACTAAGAATCTCCACAAACAGAATGAAGTTGAAACATTGTGACAGGGACATAATTAAGGAAAGTCTTAATTTAGGACCAAGCTATCTGATAGAAACCTGCTTGCTGGCTATGCACTGACCTGTTAACACCCTGTTAAATTCACCCTTTCCAAGTGATTCATTGAGTGACTTCAGAGGGAGCTGCTCAGATGGCCCAGACCGACTTTGTTAAAGCGAATTCCTAATTGAACACCTCTCCTGTAAGAGGTATTATTAGAACAGGAGAGTAAGCAAAAAGGCGGCATGAATATCTGTTCCTGAATTTCCTGATGTGACACAGCGCAGCAACCAACGCACAAGACATTACTTTCCTACCTCTCCAAAAACTCTGAATATAGAATAGGTCTGGGGCAAGAAGGAGGAGAAAACAGAGATGTTAATTAATAAAACGTAAAGAAACCCTTTCTTTTGGAGGAGAAAGCATAATGGCCCTGAATGGTGCCCAACGAGACTCCCACATTCAAAATGTCCTTCTTATGGGGAGGACGAAGCTGAATTGCACCCACTGGTCCATAAGTACTGTTCGTGTTCTGACTAACACAAGCTTAAAAGTTTATTTAATTCCAACTCTGGGACCTTGACAGCTACAGAAATCTATGGAAAGCCTG